TTAGATAGAAATCTGGATTGGTATCATGCCTACCGGGAGTGCTCGTAAATCCAATGAGATAAATGGGTAGCCTGTTTGCTTGCATGATCTGCAAGACGGGAAGGAAGGCATTCGCGAAAAGGATTCAATTCTCGATCCTTGGGTTTTCGAGATTGTTGATTACCCCTTGAGTTGAGTTGCGTTACGAGAATAGTGATGGCTGGACATAGCTTTTTCGTGGTATAAAATGGTGTGAGTAAGAAACGATGATGAAGGGGGAAATTGTGACCGACTCGGTCGGTATTCTGCCGGATCAATATAAATCCAGATCCGATCATTTCTAATTTTAGCTCTACCAGCCGGTAGTTACCTCACCCATTCTAGCTAGCACTGCCACAACATACTCTGCAAATCTCAAAATATTGTGCTTTCTTGCACCATATATTTGGTTTACTCGACTTCTTTCAACTCGTCAGAACGATATTTGGCTATGTGGTCTTCGTAGCCGTCCATGTTATACATTTACATCATATTGTTAGGCATAAACTACCTCTCTTATACAACTTAAGATGGCATATATTATAAAAGGCCTTGTCAATACAACAGTGAGTTTTTCTCGGAGACGTGCTTTCAAAGCAACATGCTTCAATCTCTCTACATCAAGACATTCGTCGTTAACTGTTATACACTCGAACAACGGACACGAATAGTCAATTCTCAGCGCACAAATCGAGGTTATTGCTAAACTTAACTAATAGCCCAATCGTTTGAGCGAATCAACCTCCTTTAACACGCGAAAACCTCCCCCATAAGATGTGAATCTATCAATGGGTTCATGATCTTCTATATTTGGAATATCCGAGTGGGCTCTGATATATTAAGTACTGTATATGGCTGCAATATCGACTTGAGATTCAACCAAGTACTCGCCCAGACCGGTAACCATGTATTTTGGACGACGATGCAGGAATTCTCAAGAACTTTACCTGAACAATCTATGCGAACTTTTCCAGCATGACAACGATGAGTTTTTCAATCGCGAATATATGATTTTGACACGATCACAACTATCTGATACTGCACGGCCATGATCTGTTTGGTTGCCTTGTCTTTTACGTGAAATCGAGGTATTACTCATACGCTAGACGGCCCGGACCACCAGTATCGTCGTGAAAGTGGAACAGGAACCAGTGGGAACACAGCAAGATTCATGCTGTGGAATCTTCATGTTTTACGGAAGCTCCCTGTAAATACAGGCCCAATTAACAATTCCTGTGAAGCATCCTATATTGCAATGGTGGTTAGGTTCTTCAAGATGATCAAAGTGAGGCATTTTAGGATTGTTAACTCTCTTTACGAAACGAGAGTATACAATTGTCCTATATCAATTTGGATAATAAACACTTGTCTTTTGAGAATTTCAGATAAGATTCAACCTTTAATGGATCAATACCGTTGTCGTCTCTAGAAACCCGAATGGCAATACATTTATTATATTAATCTATCTTACCCCATCTCTATGTCTAACAATGATATGATACTACCCTTGTAACTGCTGTACTTGCTCGTAATTCTACCTACCACTGATCATGATCGGGTATCATTGAAGGATTCGGAGCCATTGACGATACCCCACGTAAATCTACGGCTGAGCGATATGGCGGAGATCCTAGGCACTTATCTAATAATCTTCCTCGCTAGACCAGCTTGGACCAATCAAATATCTTAGAAACCACCTAGGGCTACTAGTTGCATACAAAGAGCCGCCACATTCACGTATGTACCGATAATCAAAACGTTCATCTTTTGCCTAGACAACACGGTGAGTCAAATTATTCAATGTGGATAGGGCAAGGAACTGGATAGGCAATGTATTGCTATCTCCAACGAATTGGAGAAGGCAGGTGTGGTGCTCACCTGCGGGCTGACTGCTGCGGCGAGTGCTGCCTATGTAAACACCACCTATACTCCACAAATTTCACCAAAGTTTCACCAAATCTGTTATCTTCTCGTCTCCTTGAACTGTTCAGCTTTTAATATTTATATACTCCTCGATGTCCAATCCTTCCCAATCTTCATATCCTTTCTTATCCTTCCTCATCCTCCTCGTTTCTCTTCTTCCTTCATAATACCTGATCACATACTTCTCACTTCTTCACGATATCCTCAATCATGCATTCCAACGAAATACCAAGTAAAGATGGCGAGAAATATGTAGTGGTCAAGGTCGAGAAGGATGCTACCACTTCCACCCAAGCATCAAGCGATGCTGGCAAGGACGAAGATATCAAATGCCCAGAGATCTTGTACAAAGTCCAGTATAAGGATGTAGGTGGTGAAATCAAAGGAACAAAGGAGTTGGCAGCACCATATAAGTTGAAGAAAACCACGTATGTTAATCCCATTGTTCGCTCTCCTATCAGACACTAAAATTTTTAAGATATCGTGATTCGGAAATACCTATTCTAGAAGTCCTATACAGTGTTACTATTTGGTTCCCTACCATTTATGGCAAGAAGAAGAACAAGAAGGACAAAGATGATGATAATGTGATCTCATCAGAGATGAAAGACGAAAATGACTTCGACGAACGATCTATGGAAGAGAAAGAACTCATCGTTCATTCTCCACACATTATGAAAGCCTTAAGATCCATTGTCGAATACTATCCCGGACAATCTTTACTCGGAGACACCATCTCAATCAAGGAACCTTATGGAATTCTTGTTCATTACCGAAAGGAACTTCAAGAATACAAAGAGAATTGCGATGATGCGGAAGCCAGTCACCATATCAGCGTCCTTCAGAAGTATCTTGAGGATAACTTTGAAGAGAAGTTAAAGTTGGAGGATGACCGACACGCTAGAGCTAATCCAGTAGTAACTTTTGAGATGTTATGGATGTTGTTCAAGCCAGGAATGGATGTCTACGCTCAATTCGACGAGCAACGTGCTGGTTTCGTTCTCCAAGGATGTGAAAACTCCACAGAGAATACCAGACCAGGACAGCCATCACCTCTCAAAGTCAAGATGTGGTATCTAGATTTTGATGGCCGATTTGTTGGACGTCGACCTCATGAGGTCACCATCGCGCCATTTGAAGGCGAGCGCGAAGTCACATCATTAAAGGTTATTCCTGCTCATTACGTCGATGGCAATTCTGCCCTATCTCCACGAAAGCAACTCGAAGATCGTGGAGAGAAATTCTACAGTATGTTGATGGGTAAACAAATGGATTACAGAGGTTTCAGTATGCCCGTTGAACAAAAGCCAAAACGTTTCCATGAGGGTCGTGTTGTGGTTGATCAAAGTGCTTTCTACACATACGCCGATTGGCAAGAAACGCAGAAACACCCAGCTCCGGTCCTTGGTATCGATGATGACGATTCTGGTATTCTTGCAGATTTACATTATAACTGCAACTGTACGGATTGTAATTCTAAGCGACTAGCTGCATCGGCCAATACACGCTGGGGCAAATACGAAAACATCGAACCTCGCGAAACCCCTTCGCTCGCCGAAACCGACGCAAATGGAGTTGTTTCCCGACACAAGTATTTCCTCTGCCCCCGTCGTATCATGGGTTTCGATCTCAAGTCTAAGAAATGGCAAGCTCTCGACGTTGATTGTTGTCAACCTCCTAAATTCTACACTTCGGCTATCGAGAATCTAGTCCTACCAGACGAAAAACAGGAAATGATCAAAGCCCTCGTTCACAAATATACTTCCTCGAAGAAAGCTGGCAGAAGCGAAACAACCTGGTCAGCGGATCCTATCCCCAACAAAGGAGAAGGACAAATCTTCTTGCTGCACGGTCCTCCTGGTGCTGGTAAAACCTACACCGCAGAATGTGTAGCCGAATTCACATCAAGGCCCCTTCTATCACTCACCTGTGGTGATATCGGAACCGATGAATTCCGCGTCGAAGAATCCCTCAGTAAATGGTTCAAATTGGCCGAAATCTGGGGCGCCGTCATGTTAATCGACGAAGCCGATGTGTATCTCGAGCGTCGTGAAGTTTCCGAACTCACACGTAATGGACTCGTATCTGTCTTTTTGAGAGCGATGGAATACTACAGAGGTATTCTCTTCCTCACTACAAATCGTGTGGGACACTTTGATCCAGCTTTCTTCTCTCGTATTCACGTGTACATTGGATACCGCCCTCTAGACTGCGAAGGCCGTAAGAGAATCTGGTCCCAATTTTTTACCAAGCTAGGGTTAGAACGTGGACATGAAATCACCATCATGAGTGCTGCGAAGCGCTACATCCTCTCAGATGAGGTACTCAAAGATATTGATTGGAATGGTCGTGAGATCCGCAATGCGTTCCAAACCGCGGTTGCACTAGCCGAATATGAAGCCGAGACAAAGAAGGGGCCAAACGAGGATGGAAAGTTGGAAGTGGAATTGAGACGGGATCATTTCGAGAAGGTGGTAGAGATGAGTGATAACTTTAAGAAGTATTTGGCGACGGTGGGAAGTGAGGAGGTGGCTGGACAGAGCGAGATGACGAAGGCGAAGCTTAATGGAGATAGAGGTGATGATGCGCTTTTGTAAGCAAGGAAATTAAGGAGTTAAGTGTTTTCATGAGGTATATACCAGCGTTCATTACAATCTAAAATGGATTGAGTTTCTCAAATTTGCTAAAATTTTCAAATCATGTGAATAACCATATGAGATTTTTAAATTACATCATCTAATAGTCGATTTCAAATTCACATTAGGCTAAAGATTTGATTGAAATTCTAAGTCCTTGATCCTACTGATATGAAAACACAAGCTCTTTCCATTCATAATTGCATACCCATTATCAACATATCACATCTGACCCCAATGATATATAGAAGAAGTATTTTACTCTGATATACTCGGAACGCCTACCAACAACTATCAAGTGAGCCCTCAAACAAAACCACCGGCTTATTAGTGGTGCGTCAGAAACACCTCTTGTTTTAAACACAAGAACCGCGAAGTGTTTGAATATTCTCCATGCGAGAAAAAACTGATACCCAAGCTAGCTCAGTTTTTCAGAACAACTATTGCTTTGGCAAGTATCACTGGTTCTAAGCCTATCTTCTTCAAAGGTTCCGCGGTAAGTTTACGTGTGAACTTTTTATACTGGATAGTTGCCTGCGAGACCGGATCTGTATCCTTTACCGCCTCTTCAGTAAATGCTTGAATTGCAACATGCAAACAGTGTTCGACAATATGGCCTTCTTTACTCGGGCTTTTGGTAGGCGTCTCGATCATTTCGACATCCATGGTTTGTGGATTGAACATAGTGCCAGGTACATAGTTTACCAGCTCATACCGCTCAGGAGTAAGTACCGCGTGTGCTTTTATCTCCAGCGCATGTCTGAATAAAGCGATAAGTTGTTGACGCCGTGCTTTCCAGACACTTTTCTCCTCCCCCCAGGTCTCGAAAACATTTTCCTCGGACTCTTCAGGGTTCTTGGGAAATAATGGGGCTATTGTTTGCGAGAGTGAATCCGCTAGGTCTTCGGCTTCTTTGATCATCAATATATGAAATCGTGGGTGGTTTATCAATTCATAGTGGGATGCTAGTTCAAGATTCTTTAAAGCTATAGCACCATCTGGAACATACAGATGGGTAGTCAGAATTGAAGCGTTAAGTACTGGGTTATATGAGTGTTCACTTACCTTGAGTTGCGATGATATTCCTGTATGTCGTGAGTAAGCTCAGACTCTTGGGATTCTGATCAAAATTCGGAAAGCTGGATTCGAAGACCCAAGTACAGACAGCGGCTTCTACCAAAGTTTCAATGACAGAGTATGGCGGACGGTTTGATATCAAGGCTATGACTTGTTCTTTACTTATACACGTCTGGTCAGCCAACCCGAACCCAAACGAAAATAGCGCACTCAAGCCAGCTGAGACATTAGAATCAGGTATTTTGAGCGTGGCGTCATCGTCGCAACCACCAAGTATGTTCTTCGTAAGACGTCTCATGATTGGAATCTTCCTTTCAATCTGCATCTCTTCTCGAGATTGGGTGTGTCTTCCCGCTAATTTGGTGAATGTTCCGATTCTTCGACAGCTATCTTTCGCTGCTTTTAAATGTTCAATTTCTTGATGTAGATTGGAGACAAGAAGTCGGATGGAATCATTCCCCTCCTGATGTCTTTCTTCAACCAATCTATAGGAGTCTAGTTTAGTCTGAAGTACATTGAGCTTGTCTTCCTTGGCGTTGACTTCCTCCTGGAGCTCCAATATCTTTTCGTCCTTCTTTCGCAAAGTGGCTCTATGAGTCCGCTCGTGTGTGGCTGGAGAAGAAACTAAGTCTTCCTGTGACTGATGAGATTTCTTTCTTAGCCCAAAAGGCGTGAGTTCATGGAGCTCGCTATCCTCTGGTGAAGGTAAAGCTAGGCCACTGCTACCCTTCTCGTTTTCAGTAGATGGACTGAGTTCGTCACCAACTAATTCTAATACTTCTTTTGGCACGCGCTCAGTTTTATCTTTCCGGTCCTGAATTACTCGTTTTCCCTCCTCATTATGCATACTATGCCCCTGTTCGTTGTGTAGTAGCTAAGAAGTTAGCGTTTCCTTCTGTTCAACATTATTGTTCTGCACTCACGTTTTTCTCACTGTTTCGGGATCTTTTTCTGGGGCCCTCTTCTTCGGATTGACTTCTGGGAGCATTCCATTCTCGCTTCAATCTTTTCGAAATCTCGCGTGTTTGATGCCTCTGCGCTCTAGGCGTATGGTGACCACTCTCACTTATGCTATAATCAGAAGTGTGGCTTCGGCGCTCATTAGATAGAAGAGTGGCGCGAGATTCGTTCCTGTTGATAGTGTCTACCAAAGTCTTCTCTATAACGCTAATCTAATTTAAGCTTAGTAAGGCTCTTGAAATTACAAGAGCTTGCAGACATACTGGTTTCAATGTTTTTTCCCACTGCTCAACGTTCAAATCCACAACCCTCTGCTCATCTTCTGTGAAATAGTTAAAGCATGCAGAGCCATGTACATATATGTCCGCCTTGCTTAGGGAATCGATCTTGCCAAACTCTCGCCAAATGTATTCAAGCTTTCGGGTAATTTGATCCCAGGTATAGCTTTCATTCGAATCACTCGTAGAGCACAAGCGGCCTGCGACGTTCTCTTCATTGAATGGAAAAACATGCGCGTGTTTTACACAAAAGTCAAGCAATCCAAACAATGCACATTCGGACTCTATACTCCAGGAAGCTTTTTTGGGGGCTGATGAGGGCTGTCTCTTCTTTGCCATCGTGTGAGAGTGATCTTGCTAAATGGCAAAAGGCCCAGAACAACACCAAAGAGAGATATGTGATGCTTAGAACGAGGTCTTAGAGATTCCCGGCTAGCGCAGCTCGGATAGAAGAGTTGAGTCAAAAGAGGAAGTAATTGATGTCAAACTAGCAAACGAATCAATTGTATAGAATGCTTTTTCGCATACGGATTGGGTGCCAAAATTTAAAAGGAAGGTGGGAGAGTGGAAGAGGACACAGATTTGAGTGTTCTCTACATATCAAGGAACAATAACAACTTTAAAGGCTTGATTGAAGTCTCGAGTCTAGTATACAGCTCTACTAGCTGCAAAAAATCAGGGATAAGATTCAATTGATTTTCTCCTAACCTACTTCAACAAACTGTCGGCTATCACGAAGCTGCAAGGTTGACTTGCGTGGCTGAAGAAATGTTGAGTATGTACTTATTAGTATTTATGGTAGTGTTCTGCAGGGTTAGCATGAAGCTGCAAGGTTGACTTGCAGGCCTCGGAAATTAAAGGGTGGTATTTCACGGCGGCACAGCCGCATTGTAAAGCGCAACCAATCATCTGGTTATCTGAATGCGGTTCGTTCCGTTCCGCAAAACGTTTATAAACTGCTTATTCTCGATCCTTTCACAAGCTACTTAGCTATAGCCGTGAATGACCTATTGATCACACTTTAGCCGAATAAATTCCTCATCGTTTCACTCAATATGGAGATAGATGATCTCGATTTTCAACTATCCAGCCGCGAATTTCGAGCTGGGTCGGATGCAGAAGGGTTTGCACGGCAAGATAAACGTTTCATTGTCGCCATTGATTTCGGAACGACTTTTTCTTCTGTATCGTTTCTTGCATTGCCGAGAGACACTAAATCGAGCGAAGTGCCAAATGCTCATATTTACTTGAATGAGATTCAGAGTACTATCAACTATCCGGGAGAACCATTGCGTTCTGGATATCTGCCAAGGAGAAAAGAAGTGCCTACTGAAATTTGGTACCCGAAGAAAGCGTATTTGGATCCGTTACTTCAGAGGTCGAGAGATAGACCAGTCGATGTCGTAAATATAGATGACTCTGACGACGAACAACAACAAAATAGAGCAGAAGGCCTGGATGAAGATTTGGATATGGAACTCGATGAAGATGACGAAGAGGACAAAGAAACTCTTTGGGGCTATCAAATCCAACGAAAACTAGAGTTTGCCGATTCAAATCGCAACCAGAATAGATATATGGCAAGGTTCAAACTACTTCTGGATGAAAGCGATCTTACGAAGGAGATTAGACGAGATCTCGAACCGTACTGCCAAGAACTGAAAAGGAATAAGATTATCAAAGATAAAGAAGATATCATTGCAGACTACCTTCATTATCTTTTTGTCCATACTAAAAATGAGCTTATCAAACACCATGAGTTCACGAATACCAGCCTCGTAGAGTTTGTGCTCTGCGTACCTCCAATCTGGACACCAAAAGCTAGCAGAATAATGCAAAATAATATGGAAAGAGCCATGCGCGATTCTGGTTTTGGAAGGGTGGAGAATGACAGTGTGGATAATCTATTTATCGTCTCCGAACCCGAAGCCGCTGCAGCTTATATGCTCGCAAGCGAGAGTACTCAAGTGATAGTAAGTTGTGTATTCCCCGCCACTATCAAAATCGATAACATTTACATTCACAGACCGGAGAGACATTCGTTCTCATTGATGCTGGTGGTGGTACGGTCGATACCATAACATATACTATTGGGGAAAGTTACCCCTTAAAATTGAAGGCGGAGGGTGTTGAAGCTGGTGGTAAGTTCTGAATTCATTCAACATCTCTTCACAGCATACTGAATAATGTAGGCGATCTCTGTGGCGCTAGCTATTTGAATGAGGCGCTCCGGGAACATCTAAGTGCCAGACTTCAAGGTGAAGATTATCTTGAAGTCAATCGCTCCACAATTGAAGGTATCATAGACAAGTTGTTAGTCAGATTTGAAAATGATGTGAAAAGAAATGTCGATGTGGCGGCAGACAACGTTCCAACTGTATGGATTGATATACCTGGTTTAAGAGCAAATAAAAATCCGGACAAGCGGTTCCTCAACAATCGTCTCAAGATGGGATGGTGAGTGATTGAACGAACTGAGATAGCAAGCCTTTCTGACACGCAATACAGTGCTGACCTAAAGAAAATCTTCGACCCGCTTTTGGAGAGAGTTGCAGTCTTGATGAAAGCCCAGCTAGACGGTGCGAAAGAGAAAGGGTTAACGGTAAAGGTGTGTTACAACTTATCTATGATTAAGAGAAAAGTAAATCAAAGAGTCTAATACACTAAATAGAAAGTGATCTTAATTGGAGGCTTTGGAGAATCTCCTTCCCTTCGAACCTACCTGAAAAGACAACTCGCAGCAATACGCAACTACCGCAACGATGAGATCAAACTAGTTTTTCCATCAGCTCCGTAGGCTCCCAGGAATCATCCTTTGGGTTGTTATAACTAATCATAGATACAGAAGCGAGACCACTGTTTCTTCAGGAGCAGTACTTCGGGCTTTGAATAAGAAAGGCGGCCCACAGCGTATCAGCAGATCTAGCTATGGATTCTTGTGTACCGAAGAACATGAACCGGATGAATTTCCTGCGCATAAAGGGGTACGCCCATACTTTGAGCCTTTAGATGGTAGAAAATACCTGAAATATACCATCTACTGGCTCATCAAAAAGGTTAGCACTCATGTTTGCGATGGATCTGGGCCAATTAGACAATTTGCTCACATCGTTTTTAGGGCGACGAGATACCTACAGATAAAGAGTATTCTTTACAAGTATTTTATATCTTTGACGCAAGAGAAGGCACACGATTCGAGTGTAAAGAGTACCTCTGTGTTTCCGACAATAAAATGGAATCGCACTACCGAAAAAATCATGAGAAAAATAAAGGTGCGTAAGAGAAGATGAGTTTGTGAGTATATCCGGAATCTAATCGGCTGAGTATTTAGGAGCAACAGTTATCGGTATCATTGAAACAGATATGACTTTTCTGAAGGAGCAAAATCTTATCCAACCAGTAGAACCAGAGGACGGCGTGAGAGCAAAGAGACACTACAAAGTTGAGTATGAACTTGTCATGATCGTGAACGATCGTAATATGAGATGGGAGGCACGATATCCTGCTGGAGGGGAAGTGCAGGGCAGAGGACAAATTTCTATCGCAGCGGCATTTGTCCCGGGAACTAAGTGATATAGTAAAATCCCCAAGAGACGGTATCAAAAACAATATACTAAAAGCAACTATTAGTCTCCCAGTTATTCTAGCCATACAGTGTTGATAGCAGACTATTGTGGAGATCTTGATAGATGCGAAACTCATATGTGGCCTCGCTACATTCAAATCATTCTGGAATCTTTATTTTGCGATTTGGATGTTGTAAAGCTTAGCGATGGAATCCCTGTAGTGACAGAATCCATGATCGACGAAGTGAACGCTTCATTAGTACAATAGAATCTTCAATACCTTAATTCTGTATTGAAAAATCGTTTTTATAGTATCAATATGATTGATCTAAATTTCCGTACCTTATAAAGCATATGCTAATCAATAAAGTCTTAGTCAATTCCTTGAATTTGAATTTGGAAAGCTAATTCTAATTTTTAGCTTGAAGTAATTACTTTCAAATAAAAAGATCTACTTATATCCAAATCAGATTATATTATTCATTTAATATATTTTGTATTGTATGGTATAATAATAAAGCTTATAATTACAGAATAAATTGGAAATAATACAATAACTTACCCCTTAGTCCTCTTTAAATTTTCGGCTAATGTCTTCTACCTACCTTTAGTTTATATACTTACTTTACTTCTCCTTCTTTTAGTTCTTATTCGCCTTTTTGATCCTTCTTAATCCCTATGCATATACATTTCCATCCACCTTTCCTATAACTCTAATATGCAACGATCCTGAAATCTCTAAGGCCTTTCAAAATCCTTATTTTCTTATTTTCTATTAAAATTCATTCAATAATAAACAGATCGCAAGAAGTGCTGATATTATTCATTACTAATGAAATAAGTGTATCATTAATAACAAATAAAACATTAATATTGTAATATATCATATAGAAATTTGTATAAAGATTTATATTAAATTTCTTTTTGTTCAAAGTATTAACTTTGTTGGAATAGAAAAAGATATTTGTTACTAGCATACTGCTTAGTATTATATATATATGATTTCCAACAAACTTTACCACCACAGGGAATTATTGTGTCGAGGCTTTTACGGGGATGTTTGGGTATCCTTATAGCATAGGGTCGTTTTTTCATCAAGCCGAAAGGAGATTATATATAGGAGAGTGAACTTATGATATAAATTGGCACAATGATATGAAATGGAATAATGATACGAAATGATAGTCTAGCTTGTGCCCTCGAGGTGCTCGGTCACATGATTAAAAAGTCTCTGTTAGAAGGATCTAGTCGGCCGCTTTCTCAAGATGACTTTATTCTCACTGGGCTGAGAATTACTAGGTATATATGGCTGTGCTGTTCTCTGCTTTACCATTCCAGACAGCCTTCTCAAAACTTCAACTTTCATCTCTCAGCTTTCGACTTTCAACTCTCCTCAATTTTCCTTGATTTCGTTAGCCTCTTAACTTCCCCAACTTCCCCAACTCTCCTCCTCAACTCTCCTCAATCTTCTTAATTCTACAACTTGCAACCTTTTAACTCTCTACAAACTCTTACAATACAACTTCTCTCCATAAACATTTGCAACTCTCCTTTCACCAGGTAATACACCTTATTCCCTTCGAGAAATCGTTGATCCTTCTCTTAGTCGTCCCCAAGCTGACGAATCTTTAGGATTGCGATCTGTCAAGATTCCAGTCTTGTAGCAAAGCTACAGGTATATCACCAATCAGGCCCATCAAATTTGCTGGGATATACTCTTCCCAATGTATGCGATTCAAATATGAGATACTGAATGTAATCCAACTAACATAGTGGATTCAGAGCGTCTGCACATAGTGCCACACCGTCTTCGCTTGACGTTGTCGACGATGCGTTCGACAAGCTTCCGGTGGAATTGAAAGATCCAACGACGAAGAGAGTCTTCCACCAGATGAAACAAGTTCTTGAGGCGCGCCTCTCGGCCCTCAACACTCCTATCTCGGCCACCACCCCTAACACTCGTACCACGGGAGAATCTCAGATTTCCACAATAGTGGGAGCTAAGTCAAATCATACTGAGACATCAACGACGCGGGTTGCCGGCGTCCCCCTTCCATCAAGAAACAGTCCAGAAACCCGCGGTAAAGAGAGAGCGATCTCCAAGCATCAGTGAAATCGATTCAAAGAATTTCCATCGCTCCCGTGGACAGACCCTACGCCAGAGGAGCTTTTCGCCCTCAAACACACCACCGCAAAGACACCATGGCCAAGGAGGCAAGGTTTCGTCATGAAACGAAATGCCACTCACATGCAGAGGGCTTGCTCTGATATTGCAATTAATTATGGCATACCCGGTATTAAGACTGACACCGTGAGTATGTGTGCTGACCTGATCGAGGACTGGATTAATACAAGAAGTTTGGGCAACGACCCATTCTTGATACCGTATGGTCGCATGATGGATTCGAACATCTGTACATAGATTGTGAATGAGATATATACATGCAATGGCACACCCTCCAATAGTTGATCCCTATACATGTGACAATCTTGATGAACATTTAATCAACAATTCCAAGAAACGCCAAATTATTCCTTGATCTTAGATATGTCCGCAACATGTATCCGCGATAACTCAATCTTCAACATAGAAAACTACCTACAATTTCACATCCCACACTATCTTCTTCGTCTCCAAACAGCACACTCAAGAACAGCCAGACGGTATCTTCAACCGCTCTGATTCACTACATCAAAGTCACTGCCCTGCCTCCAAAAAAACAAAGCCCTAGGTTCTAAATTATAGCACTCGACTCAATCCACCAACAAGATTCGTACGAACCATCACAAATTCCAAGTCCATCCAATCAGTCAAAATAGAAACTAGAATATCGAAAAAGCTAGACCCTGCAGCAATGCGAAACCCTTCACCTCCGACATCTTCTTTGCACTTGGCTTGAAATGAGAAGACGAAGGCGAAGCGAACGCCCAGAATTGGGATGGGTGGGGATTCGTGGGTTTTTTGTATAAATACGATTTCTGTTGATGGGATATGGATTATGCTAGGTATTACTACGACTACTATTACTAGAGATAGATATATAAATAGATTACAAAGATGGAATAATTTATCTACATCTCTACTAGATAGATAGGTATAGAACGAATAACACTAGATATTTAATCTGAAAGAGGATGAGAAAAAAATCTCTGAAAAAAATCAAGTGCTAGCGAATGAGTGGATAGTACAAGACGAGGGAGGAGTATAAAATAAATCAGAAGAAAGAGAGGAGAGTATCGAAAGACAAGATTTGATATGGGCTAAGTATCAAAATTCTTTTAGTATTTCAATTTTGTTAATATCTCAGGCTGGGTTAGAACGTCAAGCTAGGTTAGAATTTCAAGTTAGCTTAGAATTTCAAATTGTATCAAATATTCAGAATAAATGGAATGCTCAAATCAAATCAAATATTCAAATATTTCTAATACTTTAAGTTAGTTCAGACATTCAAATACTTATTTGGAAACAACATTTTGGTGTATGGCTTGTGTTGTTTATATTTAAGGAGAATGCTTTGCGGTAAGTCTTCTGTGTTCTGATGCTGGTGGTGCTATTGGTGCTGGTGGTATTGCTAGTGCTGCTAGTGCTGCTAGTACTATTGGGATGAATGATGAATGAAAAGAAGACATTTATTCTGGGGACAATTATCAAGAAAGGCGCGATCAAGTGATGGATTTGGTGTTAAGCTGGTTGGGCTTGGTTCGGAGTAAGGCACACTTAGCAGATCCAGGTCCTTCGATCAAAGAACTTTTAAATACAACAAGTGATATGGATCTAATTGAAGAGATTATGAATGGCTGGTCGGGAAAAGCGATGGAGTTGGTTCTTTACGGGGATGAGTGGCAAGATGTTGGCGACAAGTTGTTGCCGCATATCCCAGTGGAGAATGATGTGAAAGAGTTATATCTCAACTCTATAACTATTGTCGTTTTGAAAAGCTATCCTATGCACCGTAAACTTCTTGGAGGAATGGCTGCTGGTGTTATGGGATTGAGAGGCCGCGTTTCTCGATATCGCAATGTTTCGACACATCATAAACTTTCATCGTTTCATTATATGATGATGGATTTACCTGGTTCTGTCTCGGAATCCCATCAATTTGCGCAGTATGATAATACTAAGCCTCTTTCATTCTTCTTATTATCAGAGGGGGGTATAATTGCGTTATTGGGATTGTATGAATCTCCTATAGTGGGCGAGCTGGCGCCCGCGTTGTTTTAAAATACGGGCATGCCGGGGGCAGCGGGAGTGGGAGTGGGAGTGGGAGTAGGAGTGCATATAACAAGATGAAACCTCTTTCGTTCTTCTAATTTTCAGAGGCGTGCATGATTGCATTGTTGGGATTATATGAATCTCCATCATTACAAAAACAATTGTATAATTAGGTATTCCTGCTGATTTATCGAAACAATCATGAATTGGGTTGAATCAAGAGGCAGGTCTTCGACTCGCAGGATGGAACGAAGAAACGGCTGCAGTTGCTCGATCGCAGGCAGTTAGAGAGAAGACGATTTTGTTGATCACAACAGGAGCCCCAATATCGATCAAACCAACAACTCGTTCAAACAGGATAGGATTCTCTCTTCTTTCGCAACATGTGGTAAACATCTCCATGCCAACCCAAAATTTATATTCAGGGATATAGAACCATACCGCAGCTATTGCATTCATCAAGGGAAGTGATGCTCTGATGTCTTCGAAGACAAGCAAATCACCACAACAGAAAAGGAAGGCAGAAATCATTTTACTGTGTGGTATGGTGATACTGAAAGTATGTGGATTGTGCAGTCATTTGAATATTCCATCTGGCGTAGAACATTGATACAGTTTGAATACCTGATCTGACTTGAATGTCTAACTTGACTTGAATATCTAATCTAGCTTGAAATATTCAGAGTACTTGAATATTCTATTTGATATAGAACATTGATAGAGTTTGAATACTTAATCTGACTTAAACATCTCATCTGGCTTGAATATCTGATCCAACTTAGAACACTGATATATTTTGAACATCTAACCTGACTTGGAACATCAAAAGGGTTGTTTGATCATCAAAATCGAATCGGAATATTGAAAGTACTACACTATCAAATCCAAAGCAGAACATTACCTACCTAGTGACTATAAGGTTTGCTTGGTGTGCAACTCTATTTCGTCCATCGTTGAAGCATGTGAGGCAATAGTCCGTGCATAAATTACGTAATAAAGCATTCCACCAATTCCGAGGTCAGTGAAGACAAAACAGCCCAAACCTCGAAAACCATTCGGAGCTGGAGTCATATCAATAAGACATAGACGTTGTACATCAAAAACAACGCTCAAACACCAAACAGCATGAAAGGGAAGCAACAAGCCAAAATAGCTTCAGAGGGAAGCGATAAATGGCAAAAATCATGAACGCGCTGAGGATCGAACTCAGAACCATTTCGGTGCAGGAATCCAGGAAACTGGATTCGAACGTATGTACACTAACTGTGAACGAAATATCATAACCATTAGACCACGCGTCCGTTGCATGTTGTTGAAAAATAGGCCATTTTTTGAGTATATGAACTCTGCTCAAGTTGTGGAGGAATACCAACTACTCACAGTTGTTGGTGGGTTGGTGGGGAATTATGCAGCAGAAAGTGGGCGCTAGGAGGAGTCGGTGGGTTCGAACCATGGCAAGGAACTCGTACTCCATACTTGGTATGGAATAGATAAAATTAATGCAGTTCATGAGAGAATATCATAAATAGGAAAAAAAGGGGTTGAAGTCATTCCCTTTGTCTCGACTCTCCTCATATTTAATATGAGACGATATTGACAAGGGGCCCGTGATTTCCCATTGTGGTGAACTTTAAAACCCCGTGTAATCTTTGGCGGGCGCAGCAAGTCTTTAAAACTGTTAATAAACTGCGAAACTGCGAAACTGCTAAACTGCAACATTCGCCGCTAGAAATTGAGTTTCATCATCACTTATTACCTACAGCCTGCAAAGCGATAGATAGCATCATCAAAAGACTTTTGGATGAGCTTCGCATAATCATCCCCTCACAAATAACAAAATCAAACAACAAACTGAATTAAAACATTCTTTTTTTGAATTTCCTCCTCAACATTTCTTAATTGCCTACATTTCAATAACTTTGATCCCCTTCTTCTTTCCACATCATTTGTATGAGCTGGGATGGCTGGTCGTTTTGTGCGCGCGTCGAAATATCGTAAGCCTTGTTACAATACCCCCAAGAAGAGAGGCACGAGGGCAATCGCTGACCGACCGATCACATAGGACATGTCTTTGGTAAATCATCCAAGAAGGAGGCATGTTACGACAACTTGCATATCAGTCGCAATGCATGGGATACCAATTTAATCAAGGTGGGAAGCCAATGACTTGGAAAAGTGACATAGATTTGAGGAAGGAAGGTAACTCATCATCGAAAATAGGCCAATCCCGAATATCTTTCGGTCAATTGGGAAGCTAGTGGTGGAGGCGCATTCGCTGTTATTCCTTTGAATGAAAAGGGTCGCCTGCCAGAACAAATTCCATTGTTTCGAGGTCATACTGGCCCGGTTCTCGATACGGATTGGTGAGTAGTTGGTAAAGTGGCACATTGGAATAAACTCTCATCTTTGAATTAGGAACCCTTTCAACGATCGCATTATCGCTTCCGGATCCGATGATGGAAAGGTATTTATATGGGAGGTTCCTCAAGGTTTCTCCCTCTATCAAGACTCTGAAGAACCCGTCGATGTTGCGCCTGTCAGCAAATTGGCAGGTCATTCTAGGTACGTGCCGATAATACCGAAGGTTCGAATTTATTCTAATAACCTGCAGGAAAGTCGGACAAGTTCTATTCAACCCCGCGGCAAACAACATTCTCGCATCCGCATCTGGAGATTACACAGTTAAGCTATGGGATATCGGCACCGGGAAAGCACCTTTGACATTGAAGCACGGCGATATTGTACAAAGTTTATCATGGAGCGCAAATGGAGCTCTTATGGCCACCACTTCTCGAGACAAGAAATTACGCATTTGGGATACTAGACAAGAAAGACCTGCACACGAAGGACCTGGACATACTGGCGCAAAGAATAGCAGAGTCGTATGGATGGGAGAACATAATCGCGTGGCTACTACCGGGTTCTCCAAGATGAGTGATCGTCAATTGGCTTTGTGGGATGTTGGTAACGCCAAGCAACCAATTGGAGGGTTCACTGTTTTGGACTCTATCTCGGGTGTTTGCATGCCATTTTGGGGTAGGTTGTATTTATGAATCATGTTGAATCTATACTAACGATCATCTAGATGACGGTACTCAATGTTTGTACTTGGCAGGCAAAGGGTAAGTTCATAGGCAGGTATCGGAAAGAAAATAGCTAACAATTCTAGTGATGGTAACATTCGATACTATGAATATGAGAACGACAAGTTCGAATTCTTGTCCGAATATAAGTCTAGTGATCAACAACGTGGTATCGCATTCCTTCCTAGACGTGGTATTAATGTAAGTGGTTCTAGTTGTGTATCTTTCGCATACCTATTCTAACCAAAATCCAGGTTCACGAGAACGAAGTCATGAAGGGATTTAAAACCGTCAATGACCAATATGTTGAGCCTATCTCTTTCACAGTTCCTCGCCGTGCCGAAGTCTTCCAGTCTGATATCTACCCACCTGCGATTGGTTTGAAACCTGCAGTTACTGCTGAGGAATGGCTTGCTGGTAAAGATGGAATTCCTGCCAAGATCGATTTGGAAAGTGTATATGAGGGAAACGCCCCAGTTGAGGTTCCATCCGATTATAAACCACCTGTCGCTGCACCAGCCCCAACCCCAGCCCCAACGAAGACTGCACCTCCAAAGGCAGAGCCTGAACCAGCTCCAGTCGCACAAAGAGCACCTCCACCAACTATGTCTGAACAAAAGGGTTCCATTTCCGCCATGGCCTCTAAATTCCAAGATGATGATGAGGATGAAGCCGATGATAATTCCAGCTTCGAGGAGATTCAAAAGCCAATTCAAAAGCCCGTCCCAGCTGCAGCCAAGCCAGAACCAATCAAGCCCGCTCCAACCAAGGTCACGCCACCAAAGCCATCCCCTGTATCTCAAGCAACACCGACATCATTCGAACCTGCAGCAAAGGCTACCCCAGCCACTATCGCTACCTCTTCCGGGCCCATTTCCGCGGTTGGTGCTTCTCAACCATCCCCAACCTCGGTTGGTGTCGAAGATTCCCTAGCAGAAATCAAGCAACTTTTGGAAGCCCAAACTAAAACTATTACGGCACAAACGGAGAAAATTGGTCTATTGACTCAAGAGGTTGATACATTGAAGATGAGAGTTGGTCCTGGTGATCAAAGTGAAAGAATCAGACAGTTGGAGTTGGAGTTGGAAGCTGCCAAGTCTTAAATATGGGATTTAGTTGCGGGAGTGCGGTGTGCTTTGGGGGCTTTGAGGAGAGGAAAAGAGGAGAGAGTACGTTACACGACGCAGGTAGTTTTCAGGGTTTAGAGCGATAGGCGAATTGATGATTCAAAGGTGCTTCCTTTTTATGAGGGCTATCGTCTAAGTGAATCTGAGATATCTATAACTGAATCATAAGTCTACTGAACAATTCAAAGATGCAGGTATGTGGGAGTCGTAGCCTGGCCCAAATGGGTATAATCGATCCATACATTTGGATTATATTGTCTCTCTTTTTACTACCTTCATTGTTCAACTACAAACAGTACAATAAACACTAGTAATTTTGGTCCAACTTATACACTCTATCTTTCTTGTCCAACTCTGATGTATATAACATGCTCTCGTTCTTCAACTCCGAATGATTCATTCAGCCCACATCAAATCCTGTCTTTTAATACTCTCCTTCTGCTGATGCGCTTCATACTCTTCGTCTTGCACTGTTCGCTCGCTAACATTTATCCATCTTTTCTCATCCCCTATTACATTTCTGATATTATACATTCTATCACGAGTAGTAAGTATTGGTCGTTCTATCTTTCTCATCTATATCATTATACATATTATCTCCTAGTATTAATCCTCCACTCTATACCTTTCATCCCTCATTCTTCATTTAGCATATCTACTGTATCTCCATTGACCCAGAATACCTACTTCACTTATGGATTGCTTAATGGAAGATTTAGTAATTATGCTATTATGAGTGAGGTCTCTCGAGGCTAGAGCGAAGAGGGCTGTGGTGTGGGATATGTATTTACTTTATTTGTGGTTTTGGCTAAAGTGGTAGCTTGGAATTTGGAATTTGGTTTTTATTGAGGGTTTGGGAGTTTGGGGGTTTGTGCGATGGATGGGATGGGATGGGATAGTTTTATGGGGTTGAGGGCTAAGATCTTGGGATGGGAGGTAAGAAGAGGGGAGTAAGAGGAGGAGAAACAAAAAAGGGGAAGTAGGAAGAGGGGGAGTAGGAAGAGGGGGAGTAGGAAGAGGGGAGTAGGAAGAGGGGGAGTAGGAAGAGGGGAGTAGGAAGAGGGGGAGTAGGAAGAAGGGAAGCAAGAAAAGGAGGGGCCGGCTCGAGAGCAAGAAGGCGCACTATATGCACCCCGTCCCCCCTCACCAGCATCATTCTCACTTTCGATCATATGATTTTTCATTATATCATTGAGACCATAACCAAATCAAAATCACTTGATTATGCATAATTAGTTTGCTTGAACTGGATTGTATCACGTGATTTTGAATTCAGTCCTATTGTCGAAAAATCGAGTGATTGTGGACCATGCCCTGAGTCCCGTTCACTACCACTTACTTATATTATAGTACATCGTACTAACATAATATTTTCAGGCATAATGAACGGAAGGATCATTATTGACATGTAGAAACTACTCGACAAAATAAGAAGATTCTGTCATTCTATCCAAGAAATCAGTGTTGGATTAAACCAGGAAGCCAGACTTCAACCTCGTTACTCGGCCCTGTCATTCAATGTATTATATATTCACGGAAGTTACCATAGGGAGTTTATCGTGCCAGGCTACTGCATGCCTGGATTGACCATCTGAAGATATGCAAAAGTTTGCTCCTCCGGAAAATGGTATTAAGCAGTCTACAGTACTTGCTTACCCTTTGGTAATTGATCTATCAACGATTGTACACTTCAATCTCACTCAGAAATTCGTCGATAATCATTGTTTCAGGACCAGAGAAATCTTGATGGTAGTTAAGATTCGAATAACACAATATCGTCGGTATCTACAAGATCTATTCAAGTCTTGGCTCGGTCAGGAAAGGAACGTAAGAGGCTAAAACTTCCCGTCGGGAACATTGTTTCCTATCCCTTTGACTTAGATTTCATCAGTACCCGTGGCTGAAATGGCTGACTACAAGCTTCATTCCTTAGCAAATGTTTTGTAGATCACAAACGTCTTTTTCTGTGTTTCCTTTGGTCGTCGCGCTTCAAGAATGCTTGGGTATCCACATCACATATTTCGCGAAAGTCGTGAATGTGCACGCGCTTGGAGGAGGGGGGTTAGGCGAATACCTCTGTTTATAATCTGAGTGTTCTACTATACTGGTAGGTTTCTACGTCTGTTAAGTTACGCTTGTTGTGCTCTTGTCCTCGTTGCGCTCTCTCATTTTGCGCTTCTTCATTTACAGTCGGTCATTCATTAACCTGTCCTTAATTGGACTATCACAATCTTTTAACCTTTAGGATGTTTGTTCGCAATGTTGCAGTTTGGGCTGTGGCTCTAAGTGTTACTGTTTCGACGGTTTTGAGCGAGAGTGCTGTTAGTGAAAAAGTCGCGAGGGCTGAAGGAGACGATGGCATGTACGTTTGTCCATGAAGGTCCATGGCTGGTTAAAGACACCGGTTTGAAGATGATTGATGCTGATAGTGACTTTGATTATATAGAGCAAAACGTCTTCTGTTTTCCACAAACCCCAATGATTCCAATGGCCCTTCTATAGCCGATCTCTTTGATTCAAATGGAGATGACGATGATGACTCGATCTCTGACTTCGTTTCGCAATTGCTTGGGGGTGACGGTGGAAACCCTGGCTCGGGAGGTGGTTCTGGCAATAACAATCCAGGGAACAACAATCCGGGTGGTTCTGGCAACAACAACCCAGGGAACAACAACCCAGGAGGGAATAACAATCCAGGAGGGAATAACAATCCAGGAGGTAACAACGACTCCCCTGGAGGCTCAGGTGGTAATACTCCTGGCAACTCCGGAAGCGGAGGATCGAATGGATTCCCCAACTTCCCTGGCTTCCCTGGCTTTGGAAATGGCGGAGGCTTAAATAATAACCCAGGCAACAATAATCCAGGAAACAATGGAGGGTCAAATGGATTTCCTGGATTTCCAAACTTCCCTGGCTTCCCTGGCCTTGGAAGTGGTGGTGGTTCAAATAACAACCCAGGGAACAATAATCCGGGAAACAACGGGGGCAATGGAGGTGTAAACAATGGAGAATGGTCTCCCTATACTCCACTTATTCAATTTCTACGAGGCGAAGGAGCTAATTCAGCTTATATTTCCCAATTTTTAAACAGGTTGGATGCTACCGCCGTTGCCGCCTTTCTACGTAGAGCTGGATTTGCTTCTCTCGCCGAATTTCAACAAGAGGCTGCTGCAGGTCTAATCTCAATTGGCGACTTTCTTACTTTTTTGGATGCACTCTCACGCTACAATTTCTTACAGTTACTGGGATTTCCGTTCATTATTGGCTTTCCAAACCCACCCGTATCTCCAAGTGCAACTAGTTCGCTAGCTATAGTAACCCCGACTACGAGCGTTGGTATTATTGGAGGTCCTACGACTACTACGACTACTACGAGACCTACGACATTCATTCTTCCTAGCCCTTCAACGTCTTCAACTAGAGCAGTCATTGGAGGTCCTTCGACCTCACCCTCCACCTCCCGAGTTGTGATTGGTGGCCCTTCGACATCCTCGACACGAGCGATTGTCGGCGGTCCTTCAAGCTCCTCCACCAGAGCCATTATCGGAGGCCCATCCACTACCTCTAACCGTAATCCTATTGGCGGTCCTTCCACTTCTTCAACAAGAGCCATTATCGAAGGTTCTTCGACTTCGCCTTCCACGTCCCGAGTTGTGATCGGTGGCTCTTCAACTTCCTCTACTCGAGCTATTGTCGGCGGCCCTTCCAGTTCCTCGACGAGAGCAGTCATTGGAGGTCCTTCATCATCTCCCTCAACCAGGGCTGTTGCTGGTCCTTCAACTTCCTCTAATCGTCCAATTATTGCTGGCCCTTCAACTTCTTCGACCAGGAATATTATCGGAGGTACTACTTCAAGTGCAAGATCGTCTACTTCTACAGACTTGATAGCAACTTTTAGGACGTCTAGCACTAGTTCTTCGACCAGAGCACTTGGAGCGGGTAGTTTATCATCGATCTCTTCGCGGATTTCCACTCAAGGACTTGGAGCATTGTCCAGCTCTAGTTCCGTATGATTTCTCTCGTTTTTCTATCAATAGCAATGGAAGCTAATTATTAACAGTCATCAACACGAGTGAATGCCTTGTCTACAAGTTCTTCGGTCCGTTCCAGTACTAGCTCCGTATGCTCTTTTCTTACATTCCTTGGAGTTGACGGATACTAACGAACTGATAGTCGCCATCTTCATCTCGCACTGCTACCTCGGCTGTTGGCCTTGGGGCTAGTTCTACTACATCTCGGGTAACAATTACTCTCATCATATCCATAACGCCATATAACCATTTAAAAGATACTAACATTTATTTAGTCATCATCTTCTTCTCGAAGTACCACAGCCGTGGGTCTTGTGGCAAGCTCCACTTCGACTAGGGTAAGAATGTTTTTTAATTTGCTCTCAATATCACTACATAAATGCTAATATTCCTAGACATCATCTTTCTCTTCCTCCTCTCGTAGCATTACTTCAGCTGTAGGTCTAGGGGCAAGTTCTACTTCATCTCGGGTATATATTCTCAACACCCCTTTTTTGTTTGAAAATTTCGATGAGTTTTAACGATTGATACAGTCATCTACCTCGAGTAGTAGATCTTCAACCCTTTTGGCCGTCGTTAGCTCTAGTACTAGCCGGGTAACTTTCACTTCTCATTACTATTTTATCTTATCGACATGAATTTAACACGTTCTACAGTTATCTTCTTCCAGTTCACGCACATCGTCTTCAACCCAGTTGGTAGGTCTTGCATATCTATGTCTCACATAATTTTATATTCGTAATACTAATACTATAAAAAGGGTCTCGGTGCTACCACTAGTACCTCAAGATCTACCACTCTCTTCTCATCCACTAGAACTTCATCCACCAGCTCTATTCGTCCAACTACGAGTGCCGCTTCTGATTTATTAGTATCACCCAATGGAAGATGCGGACCTCAATCTAATTCCTTATATACGTGCCAAGATAGTCCTAATGGGAATTGTTGTTCGAGATTTGGATTTTGCGGTCATGAAGCTGATTGGTGCACGGCTGGCTGCAACCCCGCATTTGGAACCTGCGGACTGGGGCAGTACCAAGGATTGACGACTTCGAGTAGTTCAACCGCTGTGGTAAATCTTATATTTTTTTGTCAATTCGATACATGCTAAATTAGTATAGGGCCTTGCTGGAACTTCTAGCTCCACTTCTAGATCATCATCTAGCTCTAGATCTTTTTCGTCATCCCCTGTCGTATGTATCACTTCCATTATTGATACGGCAAATTCTAAAATAGATAAATAGGGCCAAGGATTAAGCACCAGTTCTACAAGAGCAGCTACGCTAAGTACCAGTCCAACTGCACGGCTTGTTGGAACTTCTAGTTCGACTTCTAGATCTTCTTCATCAACGGCTGTGGTACGTCTTTTACTTTCAAAAAATTGTCTTTTATTCGCTTCTCAGAGTGAATGTTAATTTCTTTGCAGGGCCAAGAATTAAGTACTGGCTCAACACGAGCAACTGCTTCAAGCTCTATTTCTACAGCACAACTTGTTGCTGGAACTTCCGGTTCTACTTCCAGCTCAACAAGAGCACCTACTTTAAGTACCAGCTCGACTGCACGGCTTGTTGGTACTTCCAGTTCCACTTCTAGATCCTCGTCAACATCGGCTGTGGTAAGCCCTTCCCACTCGGAATATAATCACACTATTACTTTCTCGTAATGAGTTCTAATGCCTTTATAGGGTCAGGGTCTAAGCACCACTTCAACAAGAGCAGCTGCTTCGAGTACCAGCTCAACAGCAAGGCTCGTTGGAACTTCCAGTTCTAGCTCGAGTTCCAGGTCTTCAACATCATCAGTAGTCGTAAGTATTTGTTTTCTGAAAATTTCACGCTGTCTCCCTTCAATTCATGATGATATTGATATAGTTATTAGGGTCAAGGATTGAGCACTAGTTCAACAAGAGGATCCACCTTGTCATCTAGTACAAGACCAATTGCCGCCACCGTTAGCACAAGTTCAACACGCTCATCCACAGCCGTCGCTACTTCCGCTAGCGCATGTAGACCAGTCGCAGCCCCTGCTGTGACCCTCTCCTTGACCGCAACTGACTGCTGTCAATACTACATCACCAAATCTGGCGACACATGTGCCAGCATTGCCTCTCGTCCTGGCATTCCCGGCTTAAATCTCGTTGTTCTAGCTCTTCTCAATCCAAATTTAAGATGTGTGGGACAAGGACCCCAAGTTGGTGTCGCCGTCTGTGTTCTGAATATCCAACTATCCCTCGTAGGCAACCTTGTATCACCTGGCGATCCCTCAACCGTAACCTCTTCGGCTATCGCAACTCCAAGCCCATCTCAGACAGTGCCTCAAAGCTTCTTTATTCAGGCTCAAAATTCTGGAACGGTAGCTGATGGCACCAGTCTTATGATTCAACAAGCAGCGGAATATTTTGCTGGCTTCAATTTGAATTATGGTCAGTCAGTTTTCCCATTCACTTATGACCCTGCTACCGGATACTTGACATCGGGCCTATATATTCTATGGGCTACAGCATCATATTCACCTCCATCCATCAAGGTGGCTCCAGCCGGTTTTACAGGATGGGTAGTTCCGGCTTGGCCATTGGTTTGTAGCATAGATGGCAATTTGAAGGTGTCGTGTACGGCCAATGAAGGTCTTTATGGGAAATTTTACCTCATAAATGGTATGTTATCATTTTTCGTGTCTCTAGGGACTGCGCCGAGACTTCTACACGAGAAGAAATATACTAACAGATTAACAGCAAACAATGACGGACAAACTGAGCTCGCTATTGGAAATGGCGCAACAACAAGTTCAATCATCGTTGCGCCAGTTGATCTTTATCTCGTCGGCAATGAGGAGGAGGAATAGGTAAAGACTTTGGGTGGATAGATTTTTGCAATGTGATGGGAGGGGGGGGTAAATCGTATCATTTTTGTTGATTTTCTTCTCTTTCGAATTTCCTTGGCTCTGGCTGGTTTGTCATCGATTGAAGTATCTATGGTTGGCTGGGCGGATAAATTGAAGAAATATATATCAAAGTCTTTTACGGCTATGAAAAATCCATGTGTTAATGGTTTGAAGCTTTATTTAGGTAGTTTGACTCAATTTTTGAAATCTTAGAATGAAATCATGTGGTTTGATGTTTGGTTTTGTGGTCTTATTTCTTTGATAATACCCCTATTGCTCGCGACACTCTCCTATGTACTAGAATTGCCGAGCTTTAGAGACAGACACTTCAAGTCTTGCTGGATTTCATATATATACTTGAGTGTATGAATTCGATGAGTTACAGACGGATTTAAAGTTTCCTCTCTCTACCGAATTGGTGTTCGGCTTAGTAACCAACCAATTACAACTAGATATTCTCTATATTATGCTATCAATCATTATGATCTACAAAACCAGTCCTTCTTTTTCACTTCCAGAAGTTTAAAAATCGTCTGAATTTTGGAACTTTGATGTGAATCCACATCCAAAACCCTGCCACACACAAATTGCATCTCGTTAAATGGGCTGCGGGGAGCGAACCCCCCTGTACCCCGCCATCCTTCAACCAACCTCAACGAGCAGAACCTTATAATTCGTACGTAATACCGCGAGCGAATTAAGTTTCTTCTCAGACTAACTTAAAAGCAAGCACGCCATTCGCATCACGAATTTTTCTGTCGATTATTCGTCATTGAAAGTTGCTTATTTCTTCAAGAGCATTTCAAAATCATGGAGAAGACAACCTGCATACCCTTATCTTCCTGCATACGCATAGTTCTCTTCCACTACACTTATTCCTGACTAGAATTCGATCTCCATACCTTCTCAAGACAGCACAGATGAAATAAGAGATCGACATTCTCTCCTCCCTCGCCTCAAAATGTCAAACTCTCATCTCCAATCAAAAAATCATATCCACGTGATCGATCACACCAAAGATGCCGAAGCAAACAATCTTCACCATGACGGCCACGAGCGTCCCGTCGTCGCAGACAAGCTCGCTCGCTCCCTCTCAGCCCGTCAAGTACAAATGATAGCCATCGGCGGCACGATTGGCACGGGTCTCTTTCTCGGCACGGGGAAATCCCTCGCAACAGGTGGTCCGGCATCAATCCTCATCGCGTATCTCATCGTCGGATTCATCGTTATGTTGACTATGCTTTCGCTGGGGGAGATGGCTGCATTTGTACCGATTGCGGGAAGTTTCTGTACCTTTGCAGGTCGATATGTAGATGATGGATTGGGGTTTGCTCTGACGTGGAATTATTGGTTTAATGATGCGGTGAGCACGGCATCCGATTTGGTTGCGCTGCAGTTGGTTTGGGCGTATTGGGGAGATACTGGACTGCCGGGTTGGGGATTGGCGTTGATTTTTTGGGTGCTGTTGGTTCTGGCTAATATCATTACGGTTAAGGCTTATGGAGAGGTGAGTTTTGGGATTTAGGGATGGACATGATGGAAAGCTGCTGACTGATGGGAATTGTAGCTTGAGTATTGGTTAAGTCTGTTAAAGGTGGTTACTATTACGGTAGGTGATCTTTGTTTTTCGTGGTTTTCTAGGTTCAAGTGCCTCCATCTAGATGAAAAGCTGGTATCCCAAATCTCTCGAATAAAGTGAGATATCAGTGAGATTGTTACTCAAGATTACTACTTGAATAATGATATCAATCCACCTTTTGATACCCATTCAAAGTTGAAGGAGATCAATAAATCAGAAGCTCCTAAATGTTTTTATTTAACATCCAAAAGTAATGATCGTTTGATTTGATGCTGAATATCAAAAGAATACATATTTTCAGTGTTTTCAGTGGTTTGGGGGGTTTGGTTTTATTGAAGAATGCTAATGCTTCTATAGATCTTCATAATTCTAGGAATTGTAGTCAACTGTGGAGGTAATACTTCTCATACATATCTCGGAGCACACAACTGGTATATTGGCGACGCACCATTTGTAGGAGGAATCGGTGGATTTGCTTCCGTCTTCGTAACTGCATCTTTCGCATGTAAGTATCCCCTCCCCCCCAGAAAAATCCCCAATCTAATTCCTCTCCAGACGGCGGTACCGAATCCATCGCCATAACCGCCGGGGAAACCAAAAATCCCACCAAAAACCTTCCTCGCGTAGTAAAAAATGTCTTCTGGCGTATCCTCATCTTCTACATCCTTTCCGTCTTCCTAATCGGTCTCAACATCCCCTACAACTATCCCGGACTCTCTAGCAAAACAACCACCACTTCCCCATTCACCCTCGTATTCCAAATGGTCGGTGCCAAAGCCGCAGGATCTTTCATGAACGCTGTAATCCTCACTTCCGTCATTTCAGCAGGTAACCACGCTCTCTTCGCCGGAACCAGACTTCTCTACACCCTCTCCGTCGATCGTCACGCACCCCAATTCTTCGGAAAACTAAACCGCAATAAAGTTCCCTGGGTAGCAGTCCTAGCTACAAGTGCCATCAGCGGTCTCTGTTTCGGAGCAAGTTTCATCGGCGCAGGACAACTATGGACCTGGCTACAAAATCTCGTGGGAGTCAGTAATCAATTAGCTTGGATCGCTATCGGAGTAACCTCGATCCGATTCCGCGGGGCGTTGGAACTCCAGGGAAAAACTCATCTCTTGCCATATAAGAATTGGACGTATCCATGGGGACCGTGGATATGTGTCTTGCTTAATGTGGTGATTGTGCTGGTGCAGGGATGGAGCTGCTTCAGTCCGACGTTTAGCGCGGTGGATTTCGTGAGTTTTTATATTGAGCTGCCGATTATGGCGGTCATGTGGCTGGGTTGGAAGTGGCTGAAGGGGACGAAGGTGGTGAGTTATGAGGAGATGGATTTGCAGACCGATGTGCATGTTATTGGGGAGGAGGATGAGCAGGAGAAGGAGAGGGAGAGGACGGCGAGGGGGAAGGTGGAAAAGCTTCTGAGGTGGATTTTTTAGAGCGGTGCATAGAATGAGTGAGAATAAGAATCGGCGTTAATTGTGCTTATCTGTTTGTGAATTCATCATTGATATGTCTTCAATATGCACTATTGATTTAAAAACGTCAAACATATGTAAAACTGCTGTATGTAATGAAGTCAAAGTAGAGGTTTGGTGAATGAGAAGGGGAATAAATGGAATGAGTATGATGGATGAGTCAGGTAGATGGGCAAGATGAGATAAAACGGTATCAGAGAATAGGTCACTCCGTCCACAGAAACCTCTCAGAAAAAGAATCCTAAACTCCAAAAAGCGGAGATGAAATTATTTAATAGAAAACTCAAGGAATCTATTACCAGAACTCATATTCGAAATGAGTTTCTTCACTGACAATTTTATTGATTTCGTTTCACATCACATCATATTACATTATTACATATCTATCAATCAATCTATCAATCACAAGACAAGAGAAGAGAAGATAAAAAATTATTGAGAAAATCCATTAAATATTGCATTCGACAAAATATGATCCAAAAATCATGCCTGCTCATCTGTTCGACTAAAAATTATACATAAAGGAGTGACAAGAAATTTCGTCTCAAGTGAGACATTAGCGCATTAAAAAAGCCTTCTTTGCTTTGTGTTCCATCGAATCCCATCCCATCCAATCCAGTTCCATCTCATCCTATCCTATCCTCCCTTTTACTCCCTCTCACCATCTAACCATCTCTTATTTTCTCTCCCATTGACATCTTATCAACCCCTTAGTTTAGTTAAGAGTGTAAGTGTACGAGCTCTCGCAAGTCCAGCTATCGGAACCCTGTTGACCAGGGTTATAGGTAGCTTGGCTGCTGGAGTAGGATTGAGCGAACAAGGAGCAGTAGGTACCCATTGGCTTTCCATTCTTCTTCAACATGTAGGAGTTGAAGAACTTGCATTGGAATGGAGAGTAGTTCAAGAACTTGTAGATCATTTGCATCCACCAGGAGATGAGGGAAAGATTCTTAGAGTTCTGGGCGGTAGCATAGCCGGCGCAGACAGCGGGGTTGTATGGACCGGGGAAGAAAGCTTGTCCCAAGCAGGTGTTTGGGTGAGAGTGTCCCTTGCTTCCACCACCGCATTGTTGAGGTGGCTTCCAGCCTGGTTGTGGTGCGGGAGTGACGGTCTTGGAGTATCCGTTGGAACCGGTGATGACGACTTGGAAATCAGTGCGCATTTGACCGGTGTTAGTGGCAGATTCAGTAGTGACGCCAGAGCCCCAGAGAGTACACTTGTAGTTGGTGATGGAGGCTGGGTTCTTGCATGCATCAGATGGGTTCATGTAAGGATCACGCTCAACGTAGATGTTGAAACCTGTGCAGAGGGAGGTGCTGTCGCAGAGGGAACCGCACTGAGCGACATCGTAGGTGGTGAAGGTGGTAAGTCCGAGATAGGTAACAGCAGTTACTGCAGCGTTGAGATCAACGAAGGATTGAGTGTAGCCGGAGGGAGTGGCGGCATTCTTGGCGTCAGTGTGGAATTGAGTATAAGCGAGGAAAGCATCAACGGTATCTGGTTGGACCTTTGGTCCGTAACCATCTGGTTGAATTGCACATGCTTTGCTGACATCTGGGGTGGTTTCTGGTACAGCGGCGGTAGAAGAAGTAGGAACACTGTTTTGAGTTGTAGTTGAGGTGGGAGTGCTCTGAGCAGTTGTGCTGGCGGCTTCTCCACTTCCTCCATTACTCCATCCACCATTTCCTCCCCAACTCCAGTAGGTACGTTTGACATTTTGCGAAGCAGTTGCTGAAGCAGTAGCAAGACCGGTAGCCTTGGCAGATCCTGAAGCGGAAGCAGCAGCGTTGTCAATAACTATAGATTCTTTGGTGGCAGTTGGGGCTGGACCAGTGATGGTTGGAAGAGCAATAGCATTGATGGCGGCAAAATCAATGCCTTGAGCAGCTGGTTTGGCTACAGCAAGAGCTGCAAAGCCTGCAATAAGGAGTGCGGAAGAATGCATTTTAAATAATGGATGCGATGTGAAGAAAGAAGAGTATGTAAAGAATGTTTGTGAATGTTGGATGATGAGAAAAAGAAAATAGAGGGAAAGATCAACCTAGATATATGATTTCATTGAAGTATAGGGAGGACCCTCGAGTAACCAAGAATGTAAACTGGTGAGTGCAAAGTAGGCTTCATCGTGGAGGAGAGGAAAGCTCTCAGGCGACTAGCTCATGGAAGGAAATGAGAAACCGGAGAAAGAATTTTTAGTTCAGCTAGATAGTATCCGTTCATCTGGATTCTTCATCGCCTAGTTCTTTGATGCTAGAATCGCTTGGATTTTCCTCAACTACGTCGAGCTGCCAATTTGACAAAATTTCCCGCAATCAAAAGAATGTGTAATTCAATGGCAAATGAGCGATGAGTGTGATAAGACGCTTTGAGGAATTAGTGCTCATACTAAAAACTTTAGTGTTGTTAATCCTTGGGAACGCCCGGTGCACTCAGTAAGGTACCCGCCGCTTTGAACTCTCTCAATGCAGGTACCAGAAGCTTTCCCGTGCGGACCAATGTTCATTTTTGGACGAAAGATGAGAGCAATCCACAAAAAAAAGCTTAAATAGGACTTCATTCTCGCCTCTTCGGGTATTAGCGTTGGTCTATGAACAGATTATGATCAATGGAGCTTAGTGTAAGGAACAAATTTTGTGACTACGCCGCAACAAGGCATGTATTTGTTGTGTGTAGTCAAAGTCTTGGACAATAGCAACCATTGTATTTGGAGGTTGCTTTGATACCAGAGCTTCGAAAGGCATCAATACTCGTGTATGCACACCTCGAGCCACGCCAATCGGAGATTGCATGTAGTCTGTGTAGTCTCTATTTTGGCACATATCAATGGGACAATTTGATAGCGTGAATGATGTCCTTAATTTTGATGGATGTAGGGTCCGTATAGTATGATCGGTCCCCCTTCTTTGAAACATATCTAGTATAACCAAGGCTAATACTCCTTGCGGCTCCTGGCGTCTGCCGAATTTGAATAATCCTAAGCCCACCCATAAATCTGAACTTTCGATATAGATGGTCTTGGCGGTCGGTAAGCACTTCCGAGAAACATTAGTCTTGAGAGAGAGCCTGAACTCAGCAGGCTGTGATGAAAGTCTCCCAGTCACATGATTTCATATAGTGCTTCTCATTTTGTTTCTTTACAAATCTTTGGGGCTGTGCCTCTATGTTGATCGTGTATACTTCTCCGCGATGAGGAACCGGCATCGAGATTCATTGTTCGTTGATCAATGATTAGTTCGATCGAGAACCGAAATCATCTATGATTACCCTACTAGAGGAAGGCTCAATCTGATAGTTTGAAAGCCCAAGAAGCATCCAGATTCCAGATTCCAGAGATGATAACCGAAGGATTTGAGATTGAATTTCAAATCGACAAACTTTTTGTCCTTTTGTCCTTTGACATTCATTATGGCGTTGAACCTTCATGCTACAATTGAGAAAGGTGCAAAATTATCCGACACTCTAAAGAGCTTAAGATGACAAATTTGACTTGCTATACTGTTATGATCGGACGGCATTCTGGCTGTATAGAATAGAACCAGTGGTTCCGATACGAGCATTTCAATCATGTGACACGTCTTTTCGACTACATGGGGTCAATTCTGTCGAGGATGATCCCTTTGCAGAGTATACTCCCTAGTCCCAAGGAGGACATCCTTAGGTACATCCGTGAGTTCGTATCTTCGATGATGGACTTCTCGGGGTTCTTGTGAATCTTTTGCTCTTTGGCTCTTTGGCTCTTTGGTTCTTCTTCGAACCGAGAAGATGATGATGATGGAGAACCCTTGGTGAAGATCCGAACTAGCTCTTTTAGGGATTAGCTCACCTTATCCACACGTGCCCAGTGCTCTCCATGTGGACGGGCTCGACGGGAGAAAACAAGGCGGCACTCGTCACATTGAGAACATTTTATCACTTCATGTTGAGATACAAATCTCATACAATATATAATAAATATACAGCAAACCAAAGACCGCTAGTAGTTATCTAGATATAAGTATGTCTTTTTTTTCCAATTTTTATCCATGATAGGCAGTGATTATCTGAATTGATATCGAACATTGAAAAGATTGTAACCTTATATTTTGGGCATCTCGGTTCCTCCTTCTTCGTTCTGCGGGAGACGTGCGCAGTGCTCTCTCAGCTCAGCCCACTCATAGGTTCATCCAGCACACTCGCACGGCCAACGAACTGCATTTTCATCCGATATCTATTTCGTCCAAAAATAACCTCACAAATCACTTTGGCGGTCATGTCTTCAAGCTCATTGTCAAAGCATCAAGATTGCCGACCTCTGTCATCCATTGACCAAGGTCCAAGTTATTGAGATTCATCGCACTTTGGCAACAACTTCTCTTGAATCGTCTGAGCACGAACACAGATGCAAAGTTGAAAGCAGTCAATCGGCGTACTCGGAAATTTGAAAGAGGCTGAGAGTTTTTCACTCATTCAGCATATGATATGACACATGGCGATGAAAATTCTTCCTTCTCAGATCCCATTGTACTTGTAACAAATAGACATTCATTCATTTATCATCATCATTTGATCAGGAAGAAGATGATCCCTTTCTTCACTTGAAGCTCTCCTGTTCCCAAACTCTTCAAAGTAGCACGAGATTTCGTACAATCACCAGAGGTCTCCAACTATCATTGGGAGTGCGTGCTGCATACATTGTTCGAGTGGTAGTGGGAGTGCAGACATAGAGGGTTCATTGTTTGGTTTTGATACAACATTTGAATCATATTATCACACGAGCATCATGAGAGTACAAATACAGAGGATTCATTGTCTGGTTTTGATGCAACGTTTGAGTTACATTACTATATAAGCATTAGGGGAGTGCAGACACAAAAGGTTTATTGCCTGGTTCTATCACAACATTTGAACTATGATTGTCCCAACATACATCATGCAATCACTCTCATACTTTCATGTTACCACATAACCATTCGATTTAGCCTGGTAAAGACGCCCTACGCCATACCAATACTTTCCGTCAAAACCTCGGCACGATGATTTTCTTGCAGGGTTTAAAACATCTCAGGAACTGATTTGTCCAACATTTCCGACAAACACCACAAGTACCGCTCAGTAACTATCATTCGTTAGTTTAAAAATTGACACGTCGATGGAAGTATTTACGCAGCGGCAGCGGCAATGATTTCATGTCGTTTCGCTCGAGTGAAAGTCGACAATACACCTGAAAATATCAGAGTGAAAATCAAGAGCAACGCTATGAGGACCCCGATAAGTGGTCTTGAAGTGTTGAGATTACTTATAAACCACAGCAGAAAGACTGGCAGGATCAATAGAATTAAGACGGCCGCCAGTATTGTCAATGCAACCACCACGTTGACGCGTTCGGGACTGGAGAGGATGATATTGGAATCTTTCGAATCTGTTTTTGTTGAAGTTCCTGGCTGAGAGGTCAGTAGAGTTCGTCGCCATGAATTTGCTGCAGGTCAAACCATGGTAGAGAATATATACTGCAATGCAAGTCAGTGGTCTAAGTACTCATATATACCCGCTGGTAATACTCACTCTAGCCGTCATATTTTCAGGCTCATTGTCAAGCATCCAAATTGTCGACCTCTGTCATCTACCTATTCATCAAGGCACAAGTCATTGAGATTCATCGCACTTTGGCGAGGGACAAATTTTCTCGAAGTGTCCGAGCATAAACACAATCACTAAACATTCATGACTCATTCTTCAATCTGCGCAAGAACACCGATGATTTATTGTTGCACTCAACTAGAAACATTAATGTGACCACCCACCAGATATCACCTTCACTCAGCGCTCATCATTTATCTAACAATGATCCAAACTCTTTCTCCCACCATTCTCCTGTCTGTTGTTCATTCTCATATAATTTACCCTCCTGCAGCTGGCGGCGACAGACTTCCGACGTTTCCCACGAATACAACAAGAACTGCACAGTATCTAAACCGGTTTAGCATAGAAATGCAAGGAAATGAAAGAAATGGAACGTACGCAGCTGCGGCAGCCAGAACCTCGTGACGTTTAGCTCGAGTGAAGAGCGATAAAACTGCAGAGAAGATAAAGGTAAAAACAAGAAGAACCACAATAACTACACCAATGAACGAACTCGATGTTGATATATGATTAAGGTACCATAGAATGTAAACTGGGACGATAAGAAGTGTGAGAACTGTGATAAGCAAAATCACTGATACTACCGCATTTACTCGTTCAGGATTGAACAAAACTATGTTCGTTGTGGTAGGGTCTGTTTTCTGTTGGAGTTCCTAATCCAAATTCAAATCAGTACAAACAGATTTGAACTCACGAACATTATACGAACTACAGAAGTAAATATATACTAAGGAAATCTGTCAGTAATATACGCTACATCAATAAACATTACTCACCCGCGTCAAGCGGCATGGGAAGTTCTGTGGGATTTTTTCAACAGCGGAATCCAACCATGTATTTTCTCGACTTGGCTTGAGGGTGATGAGATCCTCTTTGGTGAGGATATACTGTTGCTCATCTCCGCAAAGGGGAGCCTCTCGATCAAAGTAATTCTTCAGTCTTAAGTAGTCCACCGTCATTGGCCGGTCGAAATTCGTTAAAGTTTGTGCGTGTGTCAAGAGCTGAACTTCATTGGTATCGGAATTATCAGTTTAGGATTCTTATCAGCCCATCACGCTGGACTCACCATATTCCTTGTACTTTTCCTCAACTGCCTCAAGAATTCCTTTAAGATCATTGCTTTCGGCGTTACAGACGTCTCTGGAGCGCAGCCTCGCGGGCCATCTTCTTGCATAACACCTGTCTATATGAGCAAGCCGATCCTCTAGCTCTCGCAATTCGTCCTGTTTATTGAGCAATATGCGTGCTTGTAGGTGGCCAAATCGTCGATACAACATGAATTGTTCATCACTATCTATGACCGCCGCGAGCTGTGGATAGCCTTGAGGACGCCGCTCAACTGTGTATAGATCAGCATGGGTTAAGCAATAGAACCCTCACTTCAAACTTACTCGTGCTGACGACACAGTCCTTTGCGTCCTTTCTACCTTTAACACCTCGCAAGTATTGAAGATAGCGTTCCGTCGTCTGACTTGGTAGCGATTGCTTGAATTGTTCCTGTGTAACACCTTCCAATCTGATTGGTTGCAATGTTTTATTGTCTAGGAAAGTGGCCATAACCACATCACGAACTCCGTGTTCCCCTTTCTCCATCAAGTCATCGTCATTAGTGTTGAGTGGTGAAGTAGTCATTGGGAATTCTCTGACAACCGTCTTGTTTCTTCAAACTTTTTAGGTTAATTGGGAAAGTGCCAGAAGTTTGTCAAGCCTGCGAGTCATGGTTGTTCATATACGAAGATTGCCCTTCGAGGCTGCAGTCCAATGACAACAAATTCCGACCTCGCACAAATGAGGCTATGTGCATTGTACATGGCATCTCGAAAATGTCACGAAGTAGCTGACCAATCACAACTTGATTAACACGGGAACTTGCATTTTTTGTATGGTACAAAATCAACGATGCTCAATTTGCCTGTCCGCTTATCTTATCCAAAATCGCATCATGCTCCGTCCTACTGCTTAAGTTTGACTCTGCGACCTTAGAGTTCTCGTGAACTTCAGTCTTGTCCTTAAAGTGATAATGGATTTTGTAAGTGTGCCAGACATGCTCTTCATTCCCTTTCGATGTCTCCATTTTTTCATTGCAAAAGAAAGGACCCGCAATCACTACTGCTTCGACTTTCCCTAATGGATCATCCGGATGTTCATAACATACGCGAGACCCAGCATGGAATTTCGCATTTTGGATGGCCCGCCCATCCTGTCTCTATGTTGGAGTTAGCTACATAATTGATTGAGGGTGTCAAGACTGTATCACCGCTGCATTCGTTGTATTGTAATGCTCGAGATCAGCAGGACCCGTCTGTTCGTTATCCATCGATCTGGCTTCCTCAGCCATATTTACTTCTACGATTCTATCAAGATCCGGATACATCTGCTAAACTACTTGCACTGTAGATGAATGCTTAAGTTGATGATCTCCAACTCTTTCGATAAATTTTTAGAGTGACTGTTCTAATTTGCTTGAGGATGAAGCTGATTTTCTAGTTTGCTGTTCACAACAGAGGAAATTGAATAACGAACGCCTAGAGTTGATATTCAAATGTAGCTTGAATGAGAAGAGTCTTCACATGAGGTGCACTGCGATCCTTCTTATACATGGACAAGGAAGGTATGATTCAACAGGTTTCCATTTCCTCAAAGGTTCAATCTTCCTTGGTGTTTGCCAAAGTGTCATATACAGCGTTGTATGAAAGATCATGACAACCATCAATCATTATAGAAATGTTATTCACCCATATTCAATATTGAGGCTGGTGACTCCTAACAAGTTCTTAGAGGCCTCTTGCTTTGATGCAATAGCTTGCAATCAATGAGGGGATTTTACTTCATTATCATTTCATTCAAACTACATTGACACCCAACACGGAGATGAGTTTCGTGGTTCGTTGAGGTATCTTCAAAGTTGTGCGGATTGAATCATCTCAAATTTCCAACCGCCCACAATTATGGTACCTCAATGACCGTTCAATTCATGAAAACACTAATCATTTCTTTGAGGTTCTTTGAATCAATCGGCATACAACATACATGGTAATTTTGAGTCATTGCTCTTTTCATACCACAATCAGTAACTCCCAAGGTGAGTAGCTTTGTCTATGATTTCAAATACAACGTTTTTTGTGTCATTCCGGCAACTCTCATTGCTATGCTCCAGCCTCTAACTCTCGACAAGGTGATTATTTGAAAGATTATGACTTGCAATGATATAGGGTGCACGAGTCACAGATTTGAACATTCCCAGGGAGTTTTCACTCTACTTGATATACATCTACGCTGGAACCAATATCAAAATTGTTTCAAACTGCTACTGTATACATTGATCTGATACCTTTCTCTAATTTTTCTTATCCATTCACAATGTTGAATCTCAACAAGCGACTCAATTACAAAAGTTCAATACTTCTTTGCCACACTTCATGCATTCGGCTATGCTTTATTCAATTATGAGTAGATTGTAAGATTATTCTACAAGTTATCAAGTGTTTGTAGAGCCTACTCGATCTACAATTGGATTAGGATAGGCTCTCTCAACCAGATCCGCCTCTGCCACTGGCCTATCCGAGAGACTAAACTGAGTCTCCCCATAATTCAAATATCTAACAAAATACATATGCCAGTTGTATCGACTAGTCGCGTTCTCTGCAACTACGATCCTTTCGCGTTGGCCTTCGCTGGCGAGAATAGGACCAGAAACCACGACTGCGTCCGCAAAGTTGTTTTCCCCTCGGATCCACATGACACGCGATAAGACGCAAATTTTCGCGTCGGGACAGCGTTCTCCTTTGTAAATTAGGGTGGGATCCTATATTGGTTAGTTTCATTGTGCATTGGGAAGATATGGGATGTGTTACCTCTGCATTTTTTTTATTGTAGTCGCGCAATTTTTCGTGGGGTGTCTTTCTTCTTCTCACTGGTGGCATGTCTGTTATTTTAGTATTGGTTTCCTCGTTTTTACTCCGAAATTGTACTTTTAGATTTATGCGCTGAATAGATATTACAGTGCAAGTCAAATGCTGGTAGCTTCAAGACAGACCAGATTTGCGAAAATGATGTTGATGGTATAAAGTTGAGCGGGTGGTGGAGGGCAATATATATCGATCGAGCCCCCTTGACTGTTTCTTAATCGTTGCTCAATGACACCTTCACATGGATCAGAGCAGTGTCTGCCAGTCATCACGCACCCTGTGAAGGTGTTTGACGTTTGCCTTACAATCACAAATCAGTGAGGTCATAAGTATTCAGTGGTACAGGAGGTCGATGTGCCATTCTTTGAGAAGGCGCATACTACGAGGATAGTTTACGGAACCTTATCTCATGGATCTTGGGCATATGACGTCCATACATCACAATTTGACCACGTACTGATCACTTAGCTATACATCTAAATACCTGGTGTGACTTCACATGATTGCCCAACTCGAGAGCTTCCATTTCTGTCTCGCACATTGTCTGTCCATCGACTTAATACCACATCAGTAACTATGAAGTTTCGATAGAATTGATATTTCTACAGTTGGGAAGGCTATGCCTAAAATTCACAAACATCACATGGCTATAATTCCATTCTTTGCCCAAACTATCTTACGCCCATGATATTCTTACCAAATCATAACATGGCCCATACAGTTTCTTATACCACCCCATTCTGAAAAATCCACGATATCCCATTCCAGTATCTATCTGAGCAGTACAGTCATCTATCTCAATAGTACAATTCCCTCAGAGATATATTTCAGTGACTTCAATAAGGTTCATCTCTTGAGGTTGCTTTGTCGCATCCGTTGCATCCATATATCTGACGCAATAAGTATGCCAGATATGCTGATCATGACCGAGAATACGCACCATTCTACAGTAAAGAACAGGTCCCTCCGTGATGAGTGCTCGAGAATTTTCTATGTCCACATCATCATCGCATGAGTAATACCATACTTGAGATCCGACCTGAAATTTTGCATCGGGAATGCGCACTCCGTTGTAGAAGAGGTTTGGATTCTGGGATTGTGTTATGTTATGTGTATTGCTTTGGTGTTGATTGGGAGTTATGGAAGTATGCTTACTCTTGCGTTACATTTATGGTAGTTGGCTAGGTTTCGTAGAGCTGCTGATTCACTCACCATGGTTTTTCGGTTAGGCTCTTCGTCCTGCGAGATTGAATAGTATGCCTATTTACTGGCGCTCGTACCGAGAACCTGTTTACCATGTAGGTGATAGGTTTCCACCGTCTTTGGAAATGAAAAATGGCAGTATTGAGCGATATGAATGTCTACCACAATATCAATGACCCAAGTGAAGTTAAGGAGAAAGATTTATCTACTCAAATTCCAAGTGACCTGGGTCGCAGGGGGGCATTGTTGCGATACGAGTGAATATATGCACGTGAGCACGCTAGTTCCACTAGCGTACGCATGTATTGCATATAGTCCTCGTAGCTCTAGAACCTAGAATAGATTAGACACAATATCAATAATGAGAAATTACAAATGGCACATATATGACATAGTACCAGCAATCCATCAACTCACAGTCGCAGGTCCAATTCCCAAAGGTGATTATAGAATCCATTTATTAATAGTACAGGTCAACAACCTGAATATTCATTCTCAAATTTCGGATACAATACAATACAATATTCAAAGTTGATGCAAAACATCAAACTATTAGAATCTACCGATCGGATTCATGGATCCAAATCTTTTGATTTCCTGTCTGCAATCCAAACTATTGGAGACTCTAAAACATTGATTCATGACGGGGCAGATACATCGGGAGGTAATTGGTCAAGTTAAGGGATCTTTACAATATGGAATTGTTTTGTGGGTATTTATATCATACACAGATCCACAACATGAACAACATGAGCAACATAAACAACACGAACAACATCACACAACGATGAAATGTATAAAATGAGTATTATTTTGAGGGAGGGAATGAAGTTCATACACATTCTCATTGCATTAGCAAGTCGAACTCTCTATCTACAAAACTTTCCCGCCTTATTTGGTTTTAGAAAGCTGAATTTCCTATGAAAACATGCTCGTTATTCTGGCTCAAATGTATGACTTCGTGACTCCGACCATTGAAGCATCTAGGATCATAAATCTCTACGATATTTATATGAAAATTCGTGATATCAGCAGGCTTTTGTGTTTGATTCGCAAACGCGTACTGGTCTTGTGTTATTGTCTGTGTGAGAAAAGTACAGCTGACGTAGTACCGACGGTGTAGGTCCTAATTGTCAACATTTTATTCTGTCTAAAGAGCTAGATTTGTACAGGAAGAAGCAATCCTTACATGTTGAGACTAGCCCTCTCGCTTAGTCTACTACAGTGGCCTAATGACTTAAGGTCATTCACCTACGTTCATAAAGTTGTTGCAAGCAGATCTGTTGGTATCAAGTGAGCTTCTAAGCGATCAAACTCCTCATTCGTGGGAGAAGAACGCTCATTTATATAATGCACAACTTACAGGCTTCAGTGTAAGACTATCTTTTAATTTAAATCTAAGATTATCGAAGGGAAACTGTAAAGACCGGTTCTTTTGACAACTTTTGTGCCAGGCTGAGAAATTTTTCGCAATGCCCGATCCATCAAACGGCTTCGGTGGTCCTCCAGCTCCATCACCACTCCATGATCCATTCGCAGGCAAAGTGTTTGAGGTCAACACTCTTGTGTATTGGACTAACCCCACAAACTTAATTTGGATACGCTCGGTACCTGTCTCGATCCGCGCCACCATTTTGAAGAAGCATGAAAACCCCGTTATTCCTGCATCTTCTTCTACATATGTTGGTCAAGCACGGAGAATTGCCGACGCGAAAGTGGACGATGTGGATGACTGGTATGATATCATGTTATTTAATGGCGCTACAAAGTATAGAGTCAATGGCAAAGAGTTAAGCTGGCGTCCAGTATCGGAAGGGTTGGAAAATAGTCATTAGCTTGGGATTTTGTAGTATGGTTTTGAATTGTTTGGTAGCTTTGAAGACAATGATAATCACTGGGATCCTGCTTCTATGCTTCATCTTCTTCATGTAGATATCTGAGGATACCCATACTTAGAGACCAAATATGTACATCCTAATCCGTCTTTCATTAACGTTAAAATCCCTTCTTCCCGAATCTGCACAACCTTGCTCTCAAGGCTCTATGTTCTCATGGCGTGTATGCTTTCATGAAGTGTGTCTTACACGATCTGGTTAGAGGAAAAACTGTTACAAGTGAAGTAGAATAATCGACGTTTTCTTTTAGATAAAAGAATGCTCAAACTCCTTGGAATACTTGAAAATCCATATAACTCATCAAGACAACAAACACTACCTTAATCTGCCTCCTATTGAATCGGTTGTTGATCAAGTAAAATCAATATAGTGTACACGTCAGCCAGAATATGGCACCCGCTTGCACCTGGTAAGCTCACAAACCCCATAATATGACTCCCCATGATTTGAATAAGGGTTCGTTAACACGGAGGGTGGTTGTGGTCATCATGCAATTTGTGAATTGGGAAGAACATAATGACAGAAGTTTGGCTCCTGAATGGAGAATGATAGTGGTGTGCTTACAATATCTCTTGTAGTACGATGGAGTCAACCTTCAAATTCAAACAATTCACTGTTGTAATTTTAAGGCATTCACTTATATAAGAGGGAATCTAGGAGCCAAATGATTATAACTAAAAGTAATATTACCTTGGTTCACTAGAAACTCATTGAATTGCTCTTAAGCTCACGAGAAATTGTAAAAACACAGGGCACTGAAACTTTTCAGACCCAAAAAATTAAGCATCCATTTCGCGCCGACCCCAAACTCCTTTCATGGAAGAACTCTTTTCGCGCTCACCAGGAATTGGTCCCTCGGCTGTTCGTCATACCCTTCACTGATTTAATACCCTGTGTCTAGATATAAACTCCAGCTAACATACTGAAGGTTCCACAATCTGCGCAAGCATTTAAAACAGGCGACATACTCTTTTGGACCGGCCATAAAGGAACTACACCTCCTCCCTCGCCACAACCACCATCATCTCCCTCTTCTTCGCCTCCCTTAATCAACAACTCAAACGACAATGCTAAAATTCGTGTTACTGTGATTAAGAAACACGAAACCGTTATTGCGGCGCCACGTTCAAACCGAGGAGCAAATTTGAACGGAACTTCGACTATCAGTACCAGTAGAACTATCAAAACCGAAGAAGTTGGCGTGTTTTATGATATACGAGTCGACGCGGGTACGATAGTGCAAAAGGTCAATGGAAAGAAGTTGACATGGCTCTGAGTATCAGATTCGGTCGGAATCGCGGTTGAGTAGAGGATGTTAATGCGGAATAGCAATATGGGTTGATCTAGTCTTGTTTAAGAATCGTAGGTCTTAAATACATGGCTGGGTTTGGAACAATAGAAGTCGTTGATTTTTGATGCCATTTATAAAAGTTTTTGTTCTTGACCGGTTGTGATTTTTATATTGTGATATGCGTTGTTCATCAAATGCTATTACGAAGTTTAATTATATATAAAAACCGTTTCGAATTAAGTTAATAAAAGCAATTTCAATATTTTTTGATGATTGAATGTTCCAAGGCTTATGATTGTTAAACTACAGTCTAGACTATCAGACACCCTGGTAATGTCACCGACATCAGCTCATTTGTATAATTGGACTGTGATTGCCATCAAGGTGCCCCAGATATAGGCTCAAATTTCTTGAAAAGTCCTGCTTTGACGAAGTATGAGTGTTCCTGAGCAATTTTGGAGGTGAATTACTTGTATGTTTGCACTTCCAGCTAGTGATTCAGAGTTGTCAGTTTGTAAATAGTTGCTAATTATGCGTTTTGCAGACACAGTAAATCCAAAGCGACTCGAGAGCGTAACAATCTTCAGTCATATAAGTCAGAACTTACGTGTAGACAAGAAGGTGCCGTAACAAAAGATCAATATCTACTTGTTTCCAAAAAATACTAGTCAAATTTTACCATCTTCTAGCACTACTAGATGTTTTCAATTCTAATTACATCAAAAATATCACAATCGAAATCTCTCGCCATAATTCCAAACTCTGACCAAAAACCCCTGATGGGCAATTCCTGCTCTAATTGTTCTGATGACACATCCATTCTCCCATCCGTCCGTTTACCCCCTACTCACTCGCGAAATCTCAACTAACGAAGTTCAGGATCCTACAAAAGTAATATTCAAGAGAGGTGCTCGTGTTCATTGGACCGGAAAAGGAGAAACGTCAACAGCACCTACATCTGACATTCAAACTGCATCAGAGATTAGCAACGTTACCATGAACCGAGACTTGACATCGGAAATTCATTCGGGCATTGGTGCTTCCGCTGACGATGCTAAATTCATTCCCGCTACCGTGAGATCGGAGCGCATAAGAGAGGAAATCTGTCCCGAAGAAGGGCGGGAAAATTTTAACATTAGGTGTTGTTATATGATAAAGTTGGAGAATGGGGAAGTGAAGAAGGTTGAAGAGGGACAGCTGCGTCAAATTGCAAAGGATCGATAGGGCTCCGTTGAGCTATGGCACACTTTCTCTAGATATACCACAATACGAATTGATATCTCAGAGCAAATAACCATTTGAAATTGTTGAAATTGGAATGGTAGATTTTAAAACAACCAAGTCAATAGCCGACAATCGATTCAATCTTAAATTAATACATTGTTAATTTTTCACTCACTTGATCAAGATCGATTAGCAACTCTAGTATTTCACGACGAAGAGTAGCTAAGTACATGGAAGCATCATATTGAGATTGAAGAAGAACATTGTTGATTTCGCGAAGTTAAATATCCTTCAGAATATCAACTACATACAAATAATCCCACGCCGCTCTCGAGAACCCCCTTTAAAGCATCGCTAGAATCTCCCAACTTAACACAAACATCTAAATTTCAAATCTCCTGATCTCCCGAAGATGATTTGTTCCTAATAAAAACCTTCAAATCTTCCTCCCTAGCCCTGCTCATCACCATTTCACTAGTCGAGAATGGAGGAGGCCCAACCATGTACTCAAACCCCTGAGTACCTTCAATTCGGTTCGTTCGTATTATGACGTATAGGTAATTGCCATTGGTAGTCCATTGTGCGTGATCTCCGGGGAGATAGGGCGGAAGTATGCTTGGGAGCGCACTGTTCGACATAGTGATGCGGTATGTTGTCTCGTTAGAATTTATCTGATTGCTTCGATTTGAGTTGGGTTCAAAACCAAGAGGGATATGAATAGGAATATTCACGATTATGAGCGCAAAACTTTTATTCTTATATGGGAAGAAGATGAACGAGCACACATCTGTATACATGACTCAGAGTTTCAAACACCGATTTAAAAAAAAATCGGCGTTTGTGAAAACATTGTCATCAGACCTTCATCATCAGTAGCAATACAAACATCGGCATGTAAAAGGTTAGTCACTATCCTCGACTTAGACTCACAATGATAATAGACTTCTTCATCACTGTGTACACATGTAGGCAAGACATACACTCCATCAGAAAGGTTTGCTCGCATGCTTCTAAACACATGAAATATCACAAAAAGAGAAAATCGCGTAGGAATTTCATATCACTTGCTCTTCGTCAAATCTCAATTTCAACTCACATGAATTGCATCTAAGCGACCCCTCCCGTATCATGTAGAATTGCCACACTACAGGTATCTTTACTCTTTCCTCCTGATCATGAACGGTTGGTACCGACACATTCGCATCTGATTAAATCGCGTTTGTCGGCTGTCCTTCTCGTCCGATTATGAATAGAATGGCACATTTCATATGGCCGGTAGCTAATCCCGGGGATACCACATCAGATGTATGGTTTCTTCCATCCGATACCTCTTGTTCCCCGGGCAGATGGTACTTCAAAGAGGAACACTGTCTGCGAGATCACTTGAGAAACACAATTGCTTTGTAAAATTGATATGATTTGAGAGATTCAGAGTTCCTAGAATATCAGAACTACATAAACATAAAAACCTGACATTAATTTAAAATATGATACAACTTTCGTACAGATCCCAGCCCTAGAATCAGAACCTCCCTGTCAATCGCCATCTAGCATCTCGCTTCAAGCGCCAACGTCTAATCCTTAAAAATCTCATATTAGCTTGGTGTCGAATATGTTTCGCCGCATCTGGATAAGGGAACATTTTTGTCCCTGGTAGACAGTTATCAATCTCAGCTATTGCCTCTTCCAAGCTTAGAGGATTCAGAATTCGCGCTTGTCGATTCGCTTTAACGGTGGATCTTCCCGGTCCATAGAGAATGATCAAACGATTAATAACTGCTCTTCTGATGGCGTGTGGTTCGATCTCTACGCCCATATGGTGGAGTTCTCGCAAAAGTACAATACCGTTCGTGATATTGTATGTTACTTTATCACTCGCGCGTACAAAGCCTGGAACCTTTGGCGATGGGCTCGCTAACGCTCGTTGAAAACCCCATTCCACAATGGCTCTTTGCAGACTGGGTGGGAAGAGACGCTTGAGAGGATGTTGATGGTGCCACTTAGGAACTAGATCGTCCGGAAGTTGCGTGCGATCTCGAATTCGTAGATGGTTTGCACCAGGTAGAAGATCATGATTTTTGGAGCCATACCAGGAAGCTAGAAACATGCACAAATTGTGTAACTCTTTTTCGCGGCCAAGCATCCCTAGTCGCCGAATGATTTCGGTCCAATGATGTACTGGAACTGATGAGCCAGATGTCATGATACCTGTCAGAATCTTGGTAGCCATAGTTACATCATCGAAATTATTGTGCTTGGGATCCATTACTGGTCGCCGACCGCGCCGACGTGGTCGCAAGAGTTGCCGCAGAATACAGGATATCGAAGTCGGTTTTACCGGTATATGATTTATCCGCATATCGGATAATGTCTTCAGCACAGCATTCCATTGGTGTCTGATAACGCAAATCCTAAGGTGTATGTTGTAAACGTCAAAATCAGGAGTTCTGCTCCCGACTAATCGTATGGCCATCGCTTGTCGGAATTCGGTTAATTGTTCTTTAGCTGCGTACGAAGCCAAGAGTTTCTCTTGGAGTATCCAATCATCAAGTGCTGCAGGATGCTGGTCGCTGTTTACTAATGCGTTCACATATTCTTGATTTCCCTCTCTCGCAAAAAATTCCACGGCCTTGACAAACTTCGACTGACCAGGAGATATACCAAGATCTGCGAGCTGATCGAGCCTCTTAATGATAGCTTTAGTATCCGGATCCCGCAGAGCAATAGATTGAAAAGATAGGGGCCCAATTTCCTTAACTCCCAGTGCGTGAATAGATTGTATGGATACATCTAATGGCACCCAGGTTGTAGCAAGCCATCGAGCTCCCAATTCGTCATCATATTTCTTAGGTTTAATATGAAAGACTTCACCATGAATAAGATTCATCATCTCTCTAGATATACTTTGAGTGTCTTTAAGCTCATGCTCTAGACCAGGAGGTATGGATATCCCTGCATGTACCAAGCTGCGGGCGACCCGAAGAGCCAACGGGCTTTTGAATTTTGTCAACAGTCGAATCAGATCTTCTGTAGGTCTTGCAGTTTTTGGAAAGTCTTTTTTCTGAAACAGCGAGAAGTGCCATTTGTATGCAGATGAGTATTCTTCTCGGTGATATAATGGTACCATGATGCTGGAATATGATACATGAAATTTACTTCCTTCATAAATCTTCCGCAGAGCTTCGATATCTCCCCGAGAGTAATCACTCTGAAACATAATTTCTCGAAAGCTTTAGCCTCTGGTGAATGATGCACCATTAATCTTCGATGCCATTGAAATGCCTCGGCGCCTCTGCCACTCATTAAAAGATGATACATGAGCCTCGTGTAAAGTCCATTCCAACGTTGACCGGTTTGTTGCAGTAGACCATCCGCATACCGAATAATGCTTTCGAGCACAGCTTTATCTTCTAGGCCTAAATCTAAAAAGGCCCTCCACATTGTCCAAGATGCCAAACCCTCGACTGGTAATTGGATGTTCCTAGTGATTATTGCTTCCCAAATCATCCTCACTCCCTCATCGCCATAAATTCTTTGCCTGTATACTAAGAGCACCGCCCAAAGTTCAATATCTTTCTCATAAATCGGGTTATCGACTAATCGTAGTGCGCTTTTCCGAGCCCTTTCGGATACACGCGATTCATATTCAAGTTCACCAGGTGTGAAGTAATTTTTCCATCTGTTGTAATTTTTGGTAGTCATCGATTTCGTATCGGCATGAGGCATGACTGTGTGGGAGCCATTCGGAGCTCTTTTCGAAACCACATGCCGTACGGCTGGTTGGGCGGTGGCAAGGCTATCATGTTGCGAGTTATACTGATTGGCAGCCTCAAGCCCAATGCTGACACTTGCGTAGTTTCGATTGCATCTCTTACCAGCACAATCATATTGAATGTTGGCGGACGGCGGGATATTCGATGCGTGTACTAGATATCGAAGGAGATTCAATGATGAATATCTAGAGATGAGCCGTTGTAACGCAGGGCGCATTATGATGCGCCGTCCCTTGAGATTTCGGTCAGATACTTATACAGATCCATCACTGCCATAGAAAGTATCGCATGCTTCTTATTAAAGCTTACAAGTTAATCGAGCATTGTCTTTCTTCAAAATATTTTGGGGCTGCTTTGGAAGTTGAAAATGCTTAGTCATAAACACTAGCGCGGCTTTGAATCCGAGCTTCCTGCGAATTCAACATCGAACCACTTCCTCGAATACCCCAAACAAACCGCAGTAACGCCTTGAATACAGACACAATGGCTGGGTAAGTAACAATCCTAAGTCTTCACAGGGCCGTGGTATATGTCGAGAGGTTGCGGAGATTATGGCTACACCCGACTCAACCCTTCACCGAACCTGCGAGAAATTGTTGCAAGACCATTTACTGACTCTTTCAACCCAACAGCTACAAACTCCGCGAGAACCGCGTTCCTTACTACCAGGCGCTCTTCCAAGAAGGTGCTAAGAAGCACGTTCGTCAATGGAACCAAGTACGTAAATTGCTCTCTATTCCCAGGCATGGGGGTGGGGGTAGAAAATACCTATGGCTATAATGAAGGACAATTCTGATAAGTTATGCAGACTTCTCGCAGCAAGATCCTGCTCTACCCATACTACGTCGCTCTTTGGGGAGGTTTCGCCGGTATGTATAGCATTCTATAAGAGGCAGGAACGGTTTGACTGATATTGGAACAATAGGATCTATGTACATGATGTCGAGAATGGTTTTTGGACACAAGACTTGGTTCGGAAAGGGATAGAGGTTGCGAGTGAAACGACAGAGTATGTGGATGCTTGGGATCTCGAGGAGCGCGGCGGTGTACATTGAAGTCAAAGGATAGATCAATTTCATTATACCTCGAATACTTGGCGACAAACCCCCATGGAAATGCAACACCTTACTGGCCTCAATGATATATGTACCTCCTCAGTCCCACGTCAGAACAATCATTGTGCAAGGAGTCATTTCAAATTTCAAGATTTTTGTGAAGTCTCCTCTTCAATTTTCGTCTAATTATCTCATACTGTGGAAAAATGACGCTTCTTCACAACAATACCTACTAGGTAGTCCTACATCACAAGTGTGTGAGATATTCAAGTTTAACATTGGCTACACATGTTTCTGAGCGTGCCTGACCTCATGTCGCATCATCGAAATGGTTCAATATTTTTATCCTGGTATTGGTTCATTCCAAAAATTCTTCTTGTGGGAAGGTAGATGATGACGAGCGATTAGACACTTTCTAGCAAGTAAAAGGCTGTTCGGTCAATGTCTTCACCGTTCATACACAGTGCTACATTTGAGTTCAACCTGAGTTCAATAATCGAATCACATGATCTGATGATCAGTTCCACGCTACTATAAGAACAGCCCAGAAGCTAGATACATCAGATTGTACACTATACATAGTAATCTGATGTAAATTACACAGATTGTTCTCAGAGACCTTGTTCTTTGGAATATAAATACAAAAAGGAACTTCCTCATGACTTCCAGACCCCTTCCTGAAGATTCAAGAATCCCTAGATCGTATAATCTATTACAGCGAGAGAGAAACAATACCCCCTTTTACGATATGAATGATATTCGCAAAATATTGTTGTCATGGTTTTCTCGCTGGCTCTGAACATAAATCTAAGCTAAGCTAACAATAAGCTTAAGTAAAGGTTCTTTTTAGAATGTACTAATAATCTCCATTTCGTTTGTCAAATACATTACCCTTGCCCCACCATTACTATTGGTTAAGAATCACAAACAATATCATAGACATTTCAATCAATATTTATCTCCATTGTAATCGTGATTACCTTCCTTGTATTCACTACTCCGAGTCGGTTTATCTTGTGAACATGAACGAACAAAACAAGCCACTTCTTACTATTCACGATCTCCTGGCGCGCGAGGAGCCAAGCCTACGACGTGCCAACTTACCATTTACCTACCGGGTTATCGCCTATGTTGCCACTACCCATGAATTGATGAGGCGCTTCTATATAGACAAGCCGGTGGGGCTTTTAATAAAGTCAAGCGGCATATGCGAGGGGGCTGTCAAGCCATATTTTTGGTAGGCATTAGTTACAATTTTGCTTATCCAGCAGATACTTATACATACGTTTTGGCTATTTGCATGCAGATTGTATTTGCCCAAACGCATTCCATATTATGCTCCAACGCTAACAAATATACTATAGCTTCATACATGGCATAGTCAACATTTCGATCATCCTTATGCCCACATCATTTGCACAAGGTCACGAGGAGATCTCATACCTTTGTTCGTGGATTCTCACTATCAGTCTATTGCCAGCTAGTTTCTATACTAGGTGGGATGAATGGAGGCTCTTGAAGGAGGAACTAGAGGAGGAGATAGAGGCGCACGTCAACTAAAATTAGTACCAAGATGAAATTAAATCTGACTCTTCCTCTATCAATCAAGCTTCATCTCGGCTGATTGAATCACACTGTGAACGAACTTGTTATGATATCGATCCGGAGCTGAGGAACTGACATCGAAGTGTCTTTTGCGTCTCGAATTTCGTAATGTCTCGACCCAAGCAAATTCCTTTCGTTTTTCTAAAACTCGCCTCCCTTCATCTTCACTCTCCTTTAATGCACGCGCCATCATACCCTTCATCCAGTTGCTTTTAGTGTTTGTGCATCGATAACATTCAACTCATCGCTTCAAATAATCTTACTGCAGCATCCAAAGTAATGATCATTTATCTCCTACTTTACTCTCATCGCATTCCTAGCCCAAGGATTAATATACATCCTCAACACGATAGTCGCTCTATACTCACCATACTCGCTGACATCTCAACTCTTCGAATTCGTCCTTTCCTATGCTTTGGCTACAGTAAGGGGGTACCATTCTATCAACAAAATCATGGATTAAATGTCTCGATTGATCGTCAAGAAACCATGAGAAACAATCAACTTGGAATCCCTTCTTGCTCATTTCGCAAAAATCCCACTTCTTCACCTCTCACTTCCTCACCATCCATCTACGCTCCTCTACTACCCTCCCTGTCCCACACATAAGCTGAAAACCCTTTACTCGTTACACATTAACAAACCCCTCAACTTCGCGTCTGTCCACCGCGAGTGCCATGTTTCTACGAAAACCCTGACAACGCACAAGCCATATCCGTTTCCATTGGCCGCCATGGATACATCGCGTTTATTTTGTGCTCATACAACTCCTTCGCCCATGCAATTTTACCATCCCTCACTTTACCACCTACTTCTCCTCCAAAACTCACCTATAAGCCCAAAGGAAATACATATAAGTTCCCTCCCCATCCATTCAATTCTTTCAGGGCTCTTAAAAATTTCAGGGGCGTTTCGAGGTTTCTGGACATCCATAGTCTATTACAAATCCACAGTTCCCAAGCAGCCTAACAGCCAAACTCCACACGACTTAACAAGATTAGCTAATGACCATAGAACCGGGCATGACGGTCAGTACATCTCCAGCGCAGTATATAATATCTTACACGAACATTGAGTCAGCAATACCAACCATCTTCCAACTAAGTTTCGAATATCCAAATTCGTTCGGGTAATCATTGCAGACATATAAAATCTTTTCTTCTTGAAGGTTCGAATAGCAAAAATTCACAAACTTTATATCAAGTCACATCACATTACGCAAGGTCTCACCCCATGTCTCTGGCACATCCTTCGAACATGTACAATTTGATTTAATTCAATTCAAATTGTCCCATTATCCCTGCCACCCATTGTATCCGCAAACCATGGTATATTCGACAATCTTGAATTTTGCATCTTTCGTTTTCTGATGCGATAAAAGCTCCTCCCCGCTTCATTATATCAGTACATATCCTACATCCCCAACTTCGTGATCACCAACCCTGGAGTAGACATCTAATTCCAATCTTTAAACTCCCTTCCTTCCTTACCGTCTCAAGCACCTGCACTATCCTGTCTCAACATTTCCGCAACATCCGCATCTAACCCCTCCATAGCATCCCCTCCCATATCCGGAAAATCATCATTCAACTTCCTCTTCTTAATGCTACTCATCGAGTTGCTGCGTCCATAACTAGTAGAAACACTACTTAGCAAATCCAAACCGGAAGTTGGTGACATGGACATAGATTGGGATGTGTAAATCGAACCATTAGTAGCAGCCGCCGAGGAATTGAGGTCAAAGTCTGGAAGTGACTCTTGTTGAGTGGGTTCTTCCTTCATGGGGCGCAATGGAGGTGATAGAGGTTCAACTTCCGGACGGTCAGGTTCGGATTTAGGAGTACCCATTTGGTTTCCTGGACTGCCATCTGCGGGTGTACTCTCGCTGCTGTTTGCGAAGCCCCGCATAATACTGTCTTCCACATCCCTCTTTTTAGTGTCGATTTCATTACGTCGCGAGGAGAGCAGATTGAGCTGAGCCTCTTCTTCGGCTAGGGCATTACGGTTTGTCTCTAGCAATTTCTCCAATCCTTCGATCAGCAAGTTACGCGATTTGATAACTTCAGCCACAGCTCCTTCCGCATTTGCCAAAGTCTTGAGGAGGCCATTGAGTCGAGCAGCATGGACTGGCGGAGACGGAGTTGGCGTATTTGGACCTGTGAGCTTTTCGTAATCATTGTTCGCAGAATTCGTAGAAGTCTTTGTAGAAAGTACCAATTTGGATATTGTTTGTTGGGGTCCTACAAGGGGTTGAAGTTCGCTTGGCGCCGACGATGAATTGTTGGAGAAAAGGGATCCGCCCAATCCTTTCCTGTTTGAAGATCTTGATTTCTCTAGTTCTGCGATTATCAGTATAAGCTATTTCATACCCACAGACCGACTTACCCTCGATTCGAGCCTCGACTGCCTCTTGTATAGGAATCTCGAAAATCTGTCTCTGTCTCCAAACTTCCACGACTCTCTTCAGCTTATTTTGAACATCGCTTGTAGCTCCCTTATAAGCTGTGGCTGTAGCCTCTGCGATTACGGGAGAAAATGCAATGAGGAAATCATCCTTGCGCCGAGCTTTGGATTGTTGTGCGACTTCTGTGAAAGACATAACCATTAGACATGACCTAGATAAATGGACCATATGTTTGCACGTTTTGGGGAGATAAATTCGAGTTAAAATGGAGATAACCCACCGTTTGCGAGGTATACCAGATTCAATCTTTTGTTGCTTCCAGAATCCTTCAATTTTTGAAGCCAAAGTTGTCCAGTACGGTCGGCATATCTCCTAGACAAAGGATAAGCACATTGAAAAGTCGGCGAGGTCAATAACATCTGCCTACCTATGAAACATGATCCATTGCGCAACGGTGACCTGAAGATCAGATTAGTCGGCCTGTCATTACCTGGGATCCAAGAACGGTACTTACAATACTCTCCTGTGTCTCGTTCAAAGCGGAAAGTTTTGCCAGAACTGCATCATCGTTGTAGGCCATGTTTCTTACTTGGGACTTGGTGGAAAGGAATGGCGAGTATTCAATGGAGTTTTTGTTTGTATTCAAGTGTTTGCTTGTCGGCGTTTGCTTGCTCAATTGAATTTACAAGGTAAAAGAACGGCTTTGTTATACACCAGCAATCCAGATATCACTTATTAAATGGCGAGAATCAGTTGATAGAAAGATGAAAATTTCTAGAGATAATCTCCAGATATTGATGATCTTTTATGTCTACTCGATTTGATGTGAAAAGGGAAAACTCAGTTGAATTGTGAGTTCTTATGTTGTTTGCATCTGGAGTTCCTTCTCAAGCTCTCCAAATAATCCTTAGTGTCGGTAACTTCCGTACTAGCACCCCCCGGCTTTAGGCGCATGTGTAATTGGCATTTGGTATCATCGTATTAGGAACAGACAGCTTGCGATTTCGAATCAAGAGTTACACATAACCAATACTTTAGATTTCAATATGGCTGATAGATTCCCTTCTCTTGAGGACTTTGACTCTGGTGGTAAGTTCACTTTTGAGAGATTAAATGAGAAGTAGTGTGTACGCTTTATTAACAACACGATTTACAGCGCAAACAACTCAAGGCGACTCTACTTTCGAAGGAGGTGCCGATGATTTCCTAAGTCGTGAGAAGGCCCTTTTGGGTGACGATGCGGATCAGTTTGCTACTGGCAATGACAATGCCGCATTTGTAGAGGATGGTGATGATGATTTGTTGGGTGGAGGTGGAGGAGAGGATGTTCATGAATTCGAGAGTTCTTTCCCTGCCATTGATACTCGCAATGAGGTATATCATCTTCCCATTACTAGTTCGTTTTCAAGGGAAGCTAATACTCATAAAATTAGAATGTTTCACCAAGCGGACAAATCACCAGCACATACACCAATTACCAGCCCCAAGTTTCCGATGAAGAAGAGCCAGAGGTCATCAAGCAATGGCGCGAACGTCGAGATCTCCAACTTCAAGCCCGCGAGGAGAGATCTGAAGAAAAGAAGCAAGAAACTATCAAGACTGCCCAACAAAACATTGATGATTTCTACGAGAATTACAACACCAAAAAAGAGAAGACAATTGCGCAGACTCGTCGTGAAGCTGAGGAGTTTTTAGCAAGCAGAGAAGATACATCCGCCGGTGGAACTAGCTGGGAGCGTATCGCAAAATTGGTTGATTTGAGTGGAAAGGGTGCTAGAGGTGGTGCAAATGGTACTGGAAAGGAGAAGTTCAGAGAACTGTTGATGAGCTTAAAGAAGGACGAGAAGGCGCCTGGTGCTACTGGATATTAGAGGGTGTTGGTTGGGTGGATTGGGTGATCTCTCTATGGACTTGTAAGATCGTGCAAGATGGTTGTTTATTTCGTTCAAGAATTGCCTAATCGGATCTTCTGGGCAAAGGGGCGTTAAAAATGAATGGCACAGACACGCATACCTATTAAAGACTTGTTTATAATACCTAACATTGCTCCTAAATGCTGGACTTTGAACTGTGATTACTATTTACTCATTGAGAAAGTTATAATACCATTGCTGGTTTCAAGCTATTCTTTAAATTGCACGGCGTGTTTCCTTTTCATACCACTTCGTTAATTCCTTCACAATCTACCCCTTCCCCTGATCCAGATACTTATTCCGGATCACCGTAATTCTCATCCAACGCTCTTTGCCTTTCCTGTTCCTCAAATTCCTTTAATGCAGCCTGTCCTTCCTCGGTTGTGGCATCAATAATTTGTTCCTCAAGTTGCAACATACCGCCCTAGATATGTGTTAGCAGGTCATATGAACACAGATACTACGATATGAACTTACCTCGCTGAGCTGGCCTACAACTTCTTCTGCTTGTTCGACACTCATTTTGCCCAATACTTTATTGACTTCATCCAAGCTACCGCTTTCCAGAGCTCGTTGCAGTCCAGGTGGGAATGCATCGAATAGTTCTCTCGATTTAACTACCTCTGGATCCTCACTCGTTGCAGGTGGAACAGTAATGTTGATAGTGGTACCAGGATCAACAGCATGAAGTTGGATTTGTTCAACTCCACCTTCAGTGCCCTCTTCAGCTGCTCTCTGCTTCTGGATTTCCCTAGCTCTGGTACGGACTCTATCAAATGTTGAGTTGACATCATCGAAGAAGACCTTTTGGGCTTGGTGGCCTTTGGTAGTGATACGCTTAAAGAACAAGCCAACACCATCTTTTCCTAGGGCTCTGCAGTATTGAAGTAATAGAGCTTGATGAACACATTGCCTAGCATAGTCATCCTTGTTTGCGATTGCGGAGTTAAATGCTAAAACAAGTAAACCATCGGTCTCTCTTTCTGCTAGTACTGACGGATTCGAGGAGATATACTGAAGACATGTACGATAGTCACCCATCTTTATTTCTGCAAATTTCTTTCCAAGCTCGCTAGCTTCTACGTCATCATCTTCTTCCTCTTCGTCTTCATCAACGTCTGCATCGGCTCCCGAGGATTGTTCGCCGGGCTTCGAGCCATCCTTATTGGCGAGGGCATGAGGATTCAGGACTTCTACAGCTTGAACCTTCTCTTTAGGCTTCTTCGATTCTGTGGCCGTTGGTTTTGGGTCTGCCTTTGCTACAAAGGAGCTGTCAAATCCGGTATGTATACTCTCACTAGTAATCTTCTTGCCCTCCTCTTTCTCTAAAGTCTCCAGTTCGACCGCAAGTTGTTTTTGAAGGTCCTCAACCCTTTCTTGATGCACTTTGATTTCGGCGAGATACGCCTCGAATCGATTTTCTGGTTTGTCCTCGTCGACCTTTGTTTTAACTTGGTCAATAAGCGCTGCCATCATCTTAGAGTATGTTGGTGGTGCCTCCTTGACATGAGTATGTACTCCTTCTGGAGGTGGAGGTGGAGAATCATCTTCGCCAGTTGATTCCATCAATGCTTGAAATGCAAGGTCATCCGGACGTTTATCAGTTTGAGGACTGTAAGATTTTAAAGCAACAAGAAGGGCGTTTATCCTCTTGAGAAGTCCATCGTTGACGATTCGCTCATACTTGTAGGTATCTATTTTATTCTTTCTCTCATATCTCTGCTGATGAATTTGATTTTGCTTTGCTCGGATGAACGAGCGCTTATCAACATTAGGGTGAACTTCAACGTCTGAGTCGTCGCTCAACTCGAGTGCATCCTGATATTTTGTCAGCCTTGAACCTTCAGCCTTTCGAAGTGGGGGATGGACGACGATGAGGGGTGTGTGTTCCAATATTGTATATGGAATGACCTTACCCATTTACTATAGTTTATCGGCATGTTGGCGATAATTTAGAAAGTATTCGTGATTGTACTTTTTCAATATTCTTGAAGTTGTGTTGTTGAATATTCTTGAAGCTGTTTTCAGAATTCCTTTCTATCTTTATAACTCTTTGAATCGAATGTTCTACAACAATTATCCTTTGCGCCCAAACATTCCAGCCGAGCTCCAGCCAACAGCGTCAAAATCTAGCCCCACGTTTAGCTTTCGTAAGCCGTGAATAAATGTTGTGATTGGCTGAATGAATGTTGTGATTGGAAGGAAGCGATGACGGAAACTAAATCTAGTAATAAATCTAAATATGCTCCTAGGAAATAATGTTACCCGTTTAGAAGGAAAACCTTCAACCTTCGATTATTTTCAACTCGTTTGAATCATTTATAATCTTGATACTCCCACGCAATAATGACAGTTCGGCGATTATATCTTTCACAGCTTCATCGGTGAATTCAGCGGATGTAGTACACAATCCGTGCATCAAAACTTAACAATGCGGCGCACCTTGACAGTAGGCAATGGTTGGGGAGGGGCCTCAATCTGCGATATAGCTTTTAAGCAGGTTGCGAAACCCATTCCAGCTCCCGCAGCTTCAAGATGGACTCCCTCCGGACCTTCTCTGGTTGCAAAACGATTTTCATCCGGCTTCAAAAATTCGCCATCGCCATTGAGCCCCGCGTCTAAGCCAACCCCACAACTATCTACAAGTCGTCTTCTCCAACAATCAAGAATTGGGTTATCATCTCAATGGCGGCCGGCAATATCTCAACTACGACCTTTCAACAGTGCATCGCCTTTGCAAGATTCCCCAAAGGGCTCAGATAGACAGGATCATATCACACGAGAACGACAAAGGCGCGAGGAAGAGGAGGAAGATAATATTGATGAACAAGGAGATTTCGCACGAAGTGAGAAAGCCTCTAAGGCGACACAAGTCAATTTGAGCGCAAGGTTACAAAGTAGTGGGAAGAAACAAGGAAATACAGCCGCTTTTGGTGAAATATGGAGGTTACTCAAAATCGCTCGACCGGAGGCGAAATGGCTCGGTCTGGCTTTTGTATTCCTGCTGATATCTTCATCAATAACCATGTCGATACCGTTCTCTATTGGAAAAATTCTCGACTTGGCTACTAAAGATCCCTCGGAAGGCGAAAAACTTTTTGGACTAGATATTTCTCAATTCTTCATTGCTCTCGCATGCGTTCTGACCATGGGCGCTGCCGCTAACTATGGACGTATCATCATATTGAGAATAGTTGGAGAACGAATTGTAGCCAGACTTCGATCACAATTATACAGGAGAACCTATGTACAAAATGCGGAATTCTTTGACGCTAATCGAGTTGGAGATCTTATTTCTCGATTAAGTTCAGATACGGTTATTGTTGGAAAGAGTATTACTCAGAATCTCTCGGACGGGTTACGAGCCATTGTCAGCGGAGGTGCCGGATTCACAGCCATGGCATGGGTGAGCTTAAAGCTTACAAGCATCCTATGTCTCATGTTCCCACCTGTTGCAATCGGTGCGTTCTTTTATGGTCGAGCGATCAGGAATCTTAGTCGAAAAATTCAAAGGAATTTGGGAACTCTGACCAAAATCGCCGAAGAGAGACTCGGAAATGTTCGCACAAGTCAAGCTTTCGCTGGTGAGACACAAGAGGTTGGCAGATATAATCAACAAATCAAGAAGATATTCTCATTGGGAAAACGAGAAGCATTGATTAGTGCA